AAAAACTGAAAAGTACAAAATAATTTTAGCATAGCTTCCGAAGTCGGGTTTTACTTCTTCGACACTATAATATTAGCAAGCAGTTTAAGTAAACACTGCCTTATGAGTGGACTAAGCATTAAAAATTACATTATTTACATTAGAAATTTTAACCCGTTTCTTTACACAATTTTAAGGGTGGAATTTATTTTTTCAAATTTCAATAGGATATTGTTGTCAAATTTATGACTTTCTCCTTTTGCAAAGTCAGCTAAAAATACGCTACAGTTTTATGAAAAATCTAGTAAAAGCTACTACAATTTAAATTTAAATGAAAAAATGTAATTGTACCTAAGCACATTCTGTAACGTCATAGTTTGAATAGTCATCCGCCATTATCGTAATTTCGCTCATGCTGTAACGTCGCTTTTTGTATTACGCGAGATGCATAACATATTAGGGTTTGCAATATTAAAGTTTAATCCAATTACATTTCATTTTATTACTACTACTTCTAAGAGACGTGGTAGCTTAGGTTTTTTTATAGTATAAGGGTGACAAACGAGCACACAGTCCACTTGATGGTAAGTGGGTGCTGTGGCCCATAGGCATCTGCTTCTATCCTCGATTACGAATCAAAATGCAGATGCGTTGTCACCCGTGAGGACTAAGATAGAATGCCTCTTTTCCAGTAAAAAGGGTCTTCGGTGCTCTACACTCACCATACGAAACACAGCAGCATTAAGCTGCTATTTTACGCTGGCATTCTGTGAGAGCGTGGGCCTTTCCCGGTCGAGCCGACCGATTCGTGCTACAACTATACCAGTAATATAGCTGCAGCGTGGCTCTACCACGTAATATGTGCTAAATGCTCAGCGTAAATTTCACGACAGACGAATACAGTTTGACCGTGTGCTCGTTAGTTTCTACATTTTCTGTGTGTGATGATGTAGCTGGTTCCCAGAAGCGGTCTATTTTTCCAACAAGGTTTTTAGATAATGTTGCTATCTGCTATTTTTACTCATGAACTTGGATTTTTATTAGTGAGCGCTCAGGATTCCTGGAAAATGACTTACTATATTTTATTTACCATAATTCATTATTTTCACTGTACTCCATATTATATTGTACGTGGTAGAGCCATGCTGTAGCTATATTAGTAGTATAGTTGTAGTAATGGGTCAGTTCGATCGGGGAAGGACCACGCTCTCATATAGTACCAGCGAAATATAGCAGCTTAACACTACTGTGTTTCGTATGGTGAGTGTAGAGAACTGGAGACCCTTTTTACTGGAAACGAGGCATTCCATCTTAGACCTCACGGATAACAACGCACTTGCATTTTGATTCTTTATTGAGGATAGACGTAGTCTTTGATAGATAGACGTAGTATGTGTCTATGGGTCACAACAACCACTTACCATCAGGTGGATTGTGTGCTCGTTTGTTACCCTATGCTATAAAAAAATATAATTCAGTTCGTGTCGTAAGTGGCGGCAGTGGGAAAGTAGAAAAGTAGATGAGCAACAAAATCTCAACAACTCAAAATAACGAAAAACTGCGTTTGCCAAACCGGCTGCCTAGCATTACAACTATGTCAAAATCTTCCCTATGAGGCAATGGGAGAGGCCTATATTCAGCAATGAACTATTACAAGCAATTATGGTAGTGGACGCCAACTGTGATAGTGGTTAATCACGTAGTGAAGATATCATCATCACTTTGTACGTATTCAAATTCCTTGCCAGGTTCGTTATTACTGAGTTCTTATGCTGAATCTTTATAATCACTTTCAAAATTACGCATAGTTTAAAGTAAATCCGGATTTTGTGCATTTCCACTGTCTTAGAGATTGTTGGCAACATTGGAAAATTTATGCGTATAGACGTCTGCAAGCACCAATACAAACCGTTTTGCGGTTTAATGGTGCTGTATAGTAACTATGCACTATTGTAATATGTTTTATGTATCATTAAATAAAAAAAATATTATCCATATTGCTCTAGTAACCGTGTAGTGGCGGTGAAAGAATATCCACCACTCCACAACGTCTCGCGGGCATCGTAAGTGGTGACAGGGAAACTAACCAGGACATAGCCAGCAGTGTCTTTGTTTCTTTGTCTATAATAGGCTGTAATGAATGATGATGAATGAGCGACTATTGCTCTAGTGCTGAAATATAAGAAGAATGTTATTTTGTCAAAATAAAACAAACGTGTCTAACACCGTGGGTGATAACATAACCTGTACAACGCAAAACGTTTATTTTTATGTGCCACGCTTTCTTGAGGTTCAAGTGTGTACGCTGCACTAAGAACACTGAAAAGGAGAAGCAACTACCTTCACTGGGATAAAACATATTTAGATTTATTTACAGCTGGGGTTAGATATGTACATACTTATATAAACACTCACGCCTATCAACCAAATGCAGAGACTACGGACTGCCTTTGCCACAATTCTGGACACACCCCTCTCGCCTTATTTACATCCATATACCTACACATACATGCTCGTCGATTAAAGATACTCTTAATTTGGCCAATCTACCCTGTAATGTCTGTTAGTGGTAAAAAGGTTTCTTGCTTGAAGAGATATTTATAAATTTCACTAGGCTCTGTATCTAAACGAATATTCGCTCTTCGGATAACGACTTTCTAAGAACCATAACCATTGCTTCATATTGCCATAATTGCCACACTTGGTTCTTGTCATTTGGAAGATGCTGCTACTCTGTGCCAATTTCCTCTATTATCTATGACAGTCTCACTGTATGATTTAGCATGGGGTTGTGAATTCTCTTTTTCCGCCACTACACGGTAAACTATTTTATTATTAACCTAAAAACCTTCGTCAAATATGACAAAGTCTTATAATGGAAAGCATATATATAAAATGACTTTAATTATTTCGTAGTTTTCATTCTGTGCCGCGCCCAGAGCTCTTTGATACAGCGCTTTGTTTGCGAACTAAGTACGAACGAAAATCATCTCTACCATGTTTTCCAGTGAAAGGGTATGTTGTTTTTCGTTCTCAAAACGAAATTCAGAATATCTCAACAGAGACAAGTGAATTTGCTCAGGGCTTATTTATACACTTCTATTGTGTCATGGCAGCGATGTGAGCATGTGCCCATTGTAACGGCTTTTATTGTAAGACTTACTCCCATAAAGTTATTTCGTGTGCTTTCAGTCTCTTACTTTTTATTTTACTTTACTGTTGAGTCTGTTGATCTAATATTTTAGTTTTTTTTTTTTAATTTGAAGTGATTTACGCGTTCTCCCTGAGGACTAAGATAGAATGCCTCGTATTCAGTGAAAAGGGTATCCAGTTCTCTACACTCACAATACGAAACACAGCAGCATTAAGCTGTTATTTCACGCTGGTATTCTCTGAGTACATAGATCTTCCTCGGTCTTGTTGACCGATTTGTGATGCAAACATAACACAAACAACAAACATACATATATTGACAGTACAGCAGCGTAGTCCTAAGCGTTTGGCTTTATAGTATGTTTTGTATTATTGTATTTTTATTTTATTTTCCTTTTTTAATTTGCGTGGCTTTTAAATAATTGTTACACGATACTTCAAAATAACCTTCATAACGAATAAAAATTAACTCCTAAACTAAAAACAATAAAATTGTTTCCACGTAATAGCTTCTATTGTCGTCGCTAAGTAATAGTATATGAAAAAAATAAAGCCCCTTCAGAAATTATTATGTGTAAATTGTTTTATTGTTATAGTTTTTGTAGTTATTTGTATAAAGGTTTCCTTTTATTTATTTTTTACCCTTTTGAGTGAACTAAAAAATTACAAATGTTCAAGATTATGTACGAATAGAATGTTGTCTCGTCTCAATAGTTGCATTAAAAATGTCATTAGCTATATTTCCACTTATTTTCTATGAAGTAGAATCATTCAAATCGGTTCATTAACAAAGAAATTATGCCCGAACATATTTAGACTTTCTACGTGGTAGAGCCATGCTGCAGCTATATTATGGTTGTAGCACCAATAGGTCGGCTCGACCGGGGAAGGACCACGCTCTCACAGAAAACCAGCGTAAAATAGCAGCTTAACGCTGCTGTGTTTCGTATGGTGAGTGTAGAGAACCGGAGACCCTTTTTACTGACAAAGAGGCATTCCATCTTAGTCCTCACGGGTGACAACGCATCTGCATCTTGAGTCTTTATTGAGGATAGATGTAGATGTCTATGGGTCACATAAACCACTTACCATCAAGTGGACTATGTGCTCGTTTGTCACCCTATCCTATAAAAAAAGACTATATAGTTATACAGACGAATTAATAATAATTCTCCATTTTTAAGCCAATTACAAAAATACAATTTATTATAAACTGCCCGAGGGCCCAGCAGACGTTATCCTGTCCGGAAAATAAAGAAACAAAAAAAACCCAAATGCAACGCCACCTACCGGCTCCAATAGTGAATGTTATACATCCAGGGACCCAGTTATATACACATAAAAATTCATCAAAATCGGCCCAGTCATTTAGGAGGAGTTCAGTAACATGTACATGTTACTAAAAAAGAATTATACATATACATGGTTATTTTTCAAAGAGTAAGCCAAATTTTAAACTTAAGTTTAAATATATAATTTATTGTTCGCAACAGTGTATAATTTCAAATATATATACACCGTTATTGCTTTTATTTGAAATTATCCCAAATTGAATGTGATTTATGGGCAACAACATTTTTACCTACCGATACGAATGTGTACGTGCGCAGTTCCAATCAGTTAAAATTATGCATTACGAGTACCACGCATTTTGGATTTAAAAGATAAAAAGGACAGAATGTTTGATATTCTTTTATTAAATATTTCTTCACCATTTGCTTGCATTACTTATTCTGAACATACCCTGCAAATTTGGTCGGTTATTGCAAAATAACCCTGTATGTGAAAATACGTTCCTACAGTTTATATCACGGATTTTGATATATGAGGAAAACGTTGTTACAATTTTTAAAACTGCCTTTCTTTAGGTGGTGAACAGCGGTGGAACAGCTACAATAAACTGCAGTTGGAGCGGCTGGCCCGCACCGAGGCTTGAGTGGTTGCACAACGGGGTCCCCATCAGCGCTGGCGTTGCGGGGGGCCGGCTGCGAGTGCTGAACAGCGGCGAGCAGCTCGTCATACCCTCCGTCCACAGAGCTGACAAAGGCGCTTATCAATGTATGGCTAGGAATGAACGGGACTCGGCACAATCCAGCGCTGAACTCAGGCTAGGAGGTAAGCAACCACTTCAATCTTTATTCTCGCTATTCCCTCAACTCGATACTTACAAAATATAACTAGCTAAATAACTAACTATGCCCGCGGTTTCTGTTTGCGTGCTTATTTGTGTATGTTTAGAGTTAAAAGAATTTTGAATAATGAACTCTGGAGATGTTTTGTCTGATTATACTTTAAATTTATTTCTATATACTATAATGACGATTTCACATATTTGGACAGAGAAACAGAACGATATTTCGTAGTAGGTTGAGCCTTATTCCTTAGAGGTCTAATGTTCATTGGTGGTCGCTCTTAAGTCCAAAAAACTGGACATAGGCCTTTTAAAACATAGATCTGCTGGTGTGCAATGAGGATTTTCGTATACTCAAAACAGGGGCCTTACTGGGCCTTAACAAAAAACTCAAGAGTCGCTCTCACATTTCTGGCAATGCCACATAATGCACCATCACCGTAACAGCCTATTAATAGTCCACTTCTGGGCATAGGCCTTCCCATATATTGCTACATAGAGGCGCTACTTGCCATAGTTGCCACGCTTGGCAGGTGGGTTGGTAATCGCAGTTTTTTATGTTTTATATTTCACCAGACACTGCACCCGAACTTCAGTACACGTTCATCGAGCAAGTACTGCGACCTGGTCAAGTGGTGACGCTCAAGTGCTCAGCCGCCGGTTCTCCACCACCACATTTCACTTGGATGCTGGATGGCCAGCCGCTAAATACAATGAGTAGAGGACACAGGTGATGACATAACACTAACTAATTCAATTTTAAAAATCAGGCGTAACTTTGCAGAAATATTTAAAAAAAAAGTTGATGATGTTAGAAATAATTTAGTTAAGATATGCGTTTCAAAATAAAATGATGTGATTATCCTTCAAATTAGGTACGATTTATCATTTTTATTAGGACAAAAATAACATTAATTTTAATAATTTTTTGACGGTTTTCGAGCTATATAGCCAGCCCTTTGCTACTTCAGCTTACTAATCCGGATTAATAAATTCATTACCACTGGCTGATTATAGCCCAGTTGAAACGACAAAATCTCAAAACAAACTATCTGTGGGTTGAAGTCTTTTTGCTCAACTACATTATAAATAATGCAACTGTAAATAACTTTTTATAAATATTTATTTGCTTTTGTGGAAAATTGGATTGGAATTTGCCAGTCTTTAACAATAGATATTCACAAAAATCCAATTCTAGCTGCACTTTTGACTACAGTTGTTTCATTGTTCTCTCTGCTGTATGAATTTTCGTTGGAATACTTTCATTTGAATGCTTTGATTGTTCTGCATGTGCAGTGTTCTAAATTTGATATGAAATTCTCTATTTTTGTAGATACAGCGTCGAACAATTTGCTACTAAAAACAACGACGTTGTGAGCTACCTTAACATCTCTTCTGTCCGGTCAGAAGATGGAGGCCTGTATACGTGTAAAGCTGCAAATTCTTTAGGGGAAATATCTCACACATCGAGACTTAACATTTACGGTAAGATCCACAAAGTTCCGTATTTCATTTTACAATTGAGACACCTCCAGGGCTTAACAATAAGTTGCAGTGCTGAGGGTTGCACCTTTAAATAACTGTTCTGGATATTCCTTCCTTCCTTGTACAATTACACAAATTGTCCTTGTGCAATGTAGCCCGCCTCCACGATACCAAGAGAAAATCGTGGTGTGAGAGAGAATCAAATCCTACAAAAAAATCTTCTCGACCTTTTTATAACGCTAATTAATTATTATAAGTTTTTTATAGGTCATTAAAAATAAAAAAAATCTTTTCGCGTTGTCAATCATACTAAATTAATAAATAAATTGCTCAATTTCTATATCCTTACAAAGTTTCCATAAATTTTAAAGTTCTTTGTAATTTATGCAAAAGACATTTTAGATTATTACCTAAAAAAGATGAAACCTTTTTCATTCAATGTATTGTATTCACGTACGATTGAACATATGTTTGTGTTTGGTACACAGTATGGTTATTGCCAACTATCCAAATTTCTCTTGTATTTTTTTGTATAAGAGACTAAGAAAAATACCAGATAAATCTCATGGCCTTTGATAGTGTTAGCCGGATATATAATACCCAAACTAGCAAGAAAAAACAGCGTCAATGGTGCGAGATGTTATGGCAAAAAGTATAATGCGATTATAGCAACCCTTCCCTGCAACGTGAGACCCATGTTCATCAGTGAACTATTGCGGACTGACGAAGAAAATTCGTGTACTATAATGATACTTAGGAAATGCAAATATATCAATATATAATCATCATTATTAAAGCACCTCGCAAATCTATTCTTGAACATAGACCTCCCCCGAGCAATGCTACAAAATACGAGAGACGTCTACTACTATCGACTTCCTGCTCACCTTACCAGATCGTCACTTCATCTAGTGGAGGGCCATTCTACACTCCCCTTACCTACTCTAAAACTTTTCTATCCTATCGATTGTCGGTTCGTCGAACTTAATTATATTAATAACAAAACACAAATGCAGAATACGATTGTCATTGTTCCAGGTCCGCCATACGTGAGATCGATTGGTCCCATTAGAGCGGTAGCGGGTCGGGAGCTCGTATTGTATTGCCCCTACTCAGGCTATCCAATCAGGTAAGCTCTTATACGCATCGTTAGCTTGTTATAACAAGATTAATTCCAACGTCATTTATACACGCTTTATTGTTATTAATTGCTGAATCACCAACCTTATTTAGATTTATATATCAATTTAAACAAAAGACAGATTTTATATCAAAACGCGATTTTTGTAGAAGAACTGCAAGTTCACGGCTCACCTAATAGTAAGTGACTGGCTACACAGCTGTAACACCAAAACAATGGTAGGAGCATTGCCTGCCTTTGGGGAAGGAATGGACTCTTTTCTTAAAGTGGCAATTGCATATCAAACGTTTTGCATCTTCAACGCTGCAACTCGTCGCTATTCTAGATATTTACGCCTGGCGTTAATGAAATAGTTACACCGCCATCTATCGAAAGTGATAAGAATTTTCAAAGTATTTTTGGTAATCCCATAGTCGCCTCTTACGACACAAATAGAACAAAAAGAGTTGATAGATTTACTCAATAGCACCACTATACATTCAAAGTAGTCCTGTTATAATACTGATAGATTTGAACTTTTAATTTTTTTCAGTTCTGTAAAATGGGAGAGAGACGGCAGTCAAGTAGAATGGGATGGAAACATAGAAGGTGCCCTAAGATTAACTAGGGTGGAGTCTTCTCACGCTGGAGCTTATACGTGTGCCGTAACTGGACCCCATGGAGAGATAGCCAGAAGGGAGCTGCAACTCGTCGTTAGCAGTAAGTTGATGACCCAAACCATTTAAACAAGACCTGTAAATTTATTCAAGCCTTTATGTAATGACGTGAAGTCGCGGCGTAAAAAATCCACTACGCCATATAATCCCGTCGGTTTCGTAAGAGGTGGGAAACTGAAACAAAAGATGGGCTGCAAATCTTTGTAATGAAATTGAAAACAAAAAGGAAAAATTATATATTGATTGATAATGATACAGTTTAAGCCAGTAGCAAGAGGTTGTTAGGAACCTGTAATACTGAGCAATATTAATCTGTGGCCGTGAAACGTAAAGGGGATATCTCCCGCCGGGCAAGGTGTACTGCCCGCGGAGCGGCCAACGCTCCGAATGGTAGCTCGGATCTATAGTTCATTTACTTCGGTACTTTGATAGCGCGATTTACGTTTCGATGCGTTTGTGACGCGACAACAGCACCGCCACAAATCAATAAATAACAAAAGACAAAAGCTAGCATTAAGGATTAATAGTAATTTGGAATATAATTATAATTGGAATACATGATAAGCGTGCGCGCGCGCATTTGTATGTTGTATGTTTTGTGGGTATGTGGAGAAGTAAAAAAAGAAACTGCGGTTGCCGACCCAGGGGGTCAGCAACCGCAGTAAAGTGGCAACTTTTTCAAATATGCAGCATGGCAAATAGCAATAGATTTTGATGAGCTATATATTTAATAAAGCCTGTTTATTTAAAAGCCGCTGTACCGCGGTAGCTTACGGTGAAGGAAACCATCGTGAGGAAACTAAGTCCGAGGAATAAAATATTTCGAAGCCATTTGAAATTTCCCCATAGCTGTCGCATAGAGCTACGACATTACTTTTTTTTTTCTTTTCACACAGATCCACCAGAAATAGAACCTTTTTCCTTCTCTGCAAATTTGCAAGAAGGAAAGCGGGCTCAAGTGAGTTGTAGCGTCACATCCGGCGACATGCCGGTACATTTCACCTGGCTCAAAGACAATGCACCTATACCTTCTAGTCTACAGGTTGGTTAAATAGATGCGTTTTATTTATAACTCGTTGCGATGTCTCATAATGTTTTTTAAACTGTTTTATCAATATTTTCTAATTTAACAAAAGTCTCCTTATCACCTACTCACTTCAATAGTAAGTGTTTCTTACAAATAAACATCTCATTTAAATTATCTACATTTTAGATAATTAAAAAAAATTGGTCATATGAAAATAATTTTAATAAATCACCAAAATGACGGATAATGCAAGTCTCAACATGATTGGTTGCATAGGTGGAAGAGCGGGGGGCTGATTTTTTCAGCAATCTAGTGTTCAAAGAAGTATCGGCCCGTCACAGCGGCCTATACACTTGCGTGGCCTCCAATACGGCTGCCAAGGTTAATTATACCGCAGAGCTGGTAGTGAAAGGTAACGAATGATGTGTGATACTAAAGCACCAAAGCCTCAAAGCACCAGAGCACTTAGCGCCAAGTCACGCTTGCACCCAGCACCGAATTTTAACGTTGCGTTAACATATATGTCTTTTTTTTTCAGGATTGACGTTGGATTATATTTATAAGTGCTAGTGTCGAAATTTGAACGTTATTCATTAAAATTTAAGGTTTGAATACTAAGCAGGTTCTATTTCACTTTCACCTGTACATTTATTTGTAAAACACAGATATCTAATACACAAAATATAAAATAAACGCGTTTTGCCTTCACATATTACTCCACATACCATTGAAAAACTGAACATTTAAAATCACACAATATTCACAGGTTATTCAGTCAATCTTTCAGTAATTATTAAACTCTACTCTGTGCGACTGGTTGACCACAGACTATTAAGTATATGACTTTGGCCTCAGAGTAATAACATACTCTTTGGTAATAACATACATGCTTGTATTTACTCTGAGACATTGGCAGTATGAACGTAATGTATTCTTTATTTTATTTAAATGAATGAATTCGTAACATATGTTTATATAATATACATTAAAATTTTAGCTTTCTGCACTCCTCCATATAAATTGTAACCATGCCAAATGTCACACGCCTCCGAGCACACATGCTTATAATTTAAAATTTAAAATTTTGTACAGCCGACTTCAATATAAGTTATTAAGAATAACTCAAAAACTATTGTCCTTGTTCAAACCTTGATCAAATTCATATGAGATCACACGAGAAGTACCAGCTTTCAAACAAAAAAAGAATCATCGAAATCGGTTCACCCACTAAAAAGTTATGAGGTAACACACATGAAAAAAACATACAATTGAATTGAGTACCGTCTCCTTTTTGTAAGTCGGCAGAAAAAGGTGTAGAAAGTTTTCTATATACAATTTTTATATATAATTTACTTTCTTCGTAAGTCTAATTTGTCAGGGGATACATATTAACATAAACAATATTTTTTTTTCCTGGTCAATTTAACCCTTAATTACTCGCGTGGGGTATATTTAACCCCACGGCGTATTTGAAGCGTCGTATCTCCGCCATTTTTAAAGTTACCTCCATGCCGTTCTTAGTAGCTGCCTAAATACCTCCCCCCGCCGCGAATCAGTCACGAGCGCCGCTCCGTGTCGTGTGGTTGTGTCAGGAGATCGTGTCTGGGGTATATATTGCCCCACGCGAGTATTCGTGCAACTTTTTTTGGACAAGTGAGTATTTTTATTTTTATTTTTTAATGTGCAGTACAGATACTAAATGGTTAGGTTTTTTTACTTATCTTTGTTTTCTGTTCTTTTTTAGGTTATAACACCTAAAATGGCAAGTAAGCGTCTTTCTAACTACCAGATTCTTGAGTGTATATTAGAAGACGACGAAGAAAGCATCATAGATAGTCCCGATGAAGATGAGGGAGACGATGAAGTGATCCAGAGTGACCACAACTCAGAATCTGAAGAAAGTGCCAATGAAACCGAGTTAGAATGGAGTGATGACGATAATGAACCGCTGAGTAGACACGCAAGTAAAGATTCTGATAGCTTTTATTTATCAAAAAAGAAATGCTCAAAGTGGGCAAAAGAGCCGCCGCGTACTAGCGTTCGAGTTCGTAGACACAATATTATGAGGGAAACACCAGGACCTAAGGGAGCAGCCAAGGAGATACATACAATGTCAGAAGCATTCTTTTGTATGTTTTCAATGGATACTGTCAATTTAGTACTGCAACAGACCAACGATTACATAAAATCGATACAAGGAAAATTTCAACGCGAACGTGATTGCAAATTCCTAGAATACGAAGAACTTTTGGCTTACCTAGGTTTGCTTTACATGTCTGGTGTGCTGCGTTCATCTCACTTGAACTTCAAAGATCTGTGGGCTACCGATGGAACAGGCATCGAGTTTTTTCAAAACACAATGTCATTCAACAGATTTCTTTTTATATCAAGATGTGTTCGTTTTGATGACAAAAATACTAGATCTGAAAGGCAAAAGACAGACAAACTAGCAGCAGTCAGAGAGTTCACTGATTTGATGAATAATAATTTCATCAATAATTACTCTGCATCTGAAAATGTCACCCTAGATGAACAATTACCTGCCTTTCGAGGAAGATTTTCTGGTGTTGTTTATATGCCCAACAAACCCACGAAGTACGGCATAAAGCATTATGCACTCGTAGACTCGGCAACATTTTATTTACTGAAATTTGAAATTTATGCTGGAGTACAACCTGAGGGTCCATATCGAATGCCTAATGATACAGTAAGTTTGGTAAAGCGCATGACAGAACCCATCTGGGGTACTGATCGAAACGTTACGATGGACAACTGGTTCACTAGCGTCCCTCTTACAAATACGCTTCTAAAAGATCACCAGCTTACTATGGTTGGAACTATTCGCAAGAATAAGCCGGAAATTCCAACTTGCTTCCAGCCCAAACGAACACGAGCTGAGCATTCCAGTCTGTTTGGTTTCCAAGAAGACGTAACACTTTGCTCTTACGTTCCAAAAAAATCTAAAGCTGTACTGCTGATTTCGTCAATGCATCATGACAATAAAATAGTTGAAAGTGAAAAGAAGAAACCGGAAATTATTTTGTACTACAATCGCACGAAAGGTGGCGTAGATACCAACGACCAAATGTGTGCTAACTATAACGTCGGCAGACGTACAAAGAGATGGCCTATGGTTGTATTTTATCACCTTCTCAACGTTGCTGGTATCAATGCATATGTCATTTATAAAAATAAAATTGACCACGGAATATCAAGAAGGGAGTTTTTGAAGCATCTTGCAGTTGATTTGGTAAAGGCTCGCCAACAAACTCGAGCAACTATACCACAACTGCCTAGGGCCGTACAAAAACGGCTAAAAAGAAATGCTCAAGTTCAGGATCCTAGCCCCACTTCCAGAGGTGGTCCATCGATAACTTATAAAAGGTGCCATATCTGTCCAAGGTCGAAGGATAAAAAAATAAGATTTATGTGTGCCAAATGCCACCAGCAAGTTTGTCACGACCATTCCACTATGATATGTGATAAATGTATTGATTAAAAAGTTCCTAAATTTAAAGTTTCATATCTTTAAAAGTTTTTTTAGGATACTATTACAATTTAGAACAATGTTGCCTCTTTCAAATTTTTATAATAAAAAAAAAGTATGTCATTAAAAATATGTCATTAAAAATATGTTTTATTGTACCTTTACAATTGGGGTTATATATTCCCCACGCGAGCGTAAGTGTAACTATATGGACGCGAGTAATTAAGGGTTAAGTATGTTTTATATATAAATATCGTAATTGGTCTAACTCTAAAAATATTTGCGAATCAAACGACAATTTAAAATGAATACATATTTAAATAAAATATTTATAAGAGTAGTTTTTATCATATGTCTCATGATATTTTTAATATGAATTTATTTTTAATTCATGCGAATCCATGCTTTTCTATCAATTACATTGGTTACATAAAATCAGTATACCTTAAATTCGAGAAATACAAACAACTGAATGATTTTCAATTCGAGTTAAGTACCAAATTTCATTTATTTATTTTAGGATGACCATGTACATTATGTCATCTTTTACACGTGTACAAAAATTTCAGTAAAAAGACAATGTGGAATTTATCACGCTAACCATACTAACATGTGTTAATCAATAATGCTAGACGCGACATCTAAATGGTAAAAACCTGTCTTTAATTACAGCTTTGCTTATTTCTTTAACCACAGCTTTAGGAATATAATTATACACACATATAACTATATAATTGTATATGTGACAATATGACTGTATTGTTAATACATTAACAATTCTTTTTTACACCAAACTAAAAAAAAATAGGTACATTAAAATTGCACAATGAAAAAAGTAATTCCAAAGTGGTATAGTGACAACAAAATTACATCAGACATAAATAATTATTATTAACACAACAAGATACGACTCTGCATTAACTGCAATTTAAAATAATTGGGAGACAAGAAAACCTAGCAATCTCCGTTGCCTAAAGTCCAGCACCGCACCAGGCTACAATTACTTGCACATTTTGAGCACGACTTAATATTTCATCGTACGCTTTCGCCTTTCAATTGAGTTATAAACTTTGTATCGTTTTTGTTCTGCACAACGTTGGATTTACAGATGGCTAACAGGAAAGGGTAATTGTGATTTTTAAACTATTTTTTTTACCCTTGATCTTTTAATTGTCAATTCATTAAGGATCCATCAGCTTCCTTATAATAATTTGTTTCGCACAATTTGTATGTACATGCTTTAAATAGGGTCATTATTACAGACGAGCGAGAGAAAAAATTAAAAGAATATTCCTCGTGCTATCTTCTCACAAATAGTTTGCATTTTTACAATATAAAACTAAACTTTTATTTTGAAAGTGTTTTTTATAAAATTGAAGTAACGAACAAACTGACAGTCCATGATGATGGTAAATGGCTACTGCATTCAAGTTGTACAAGTTTCGGTAATTTCTCATTCGAGAATCGTTGTAATGGACCCTTGACACAAGTTATCTACACTAACACTAAAAAATTCAAAACCTGCGGAAACAAAACAGCTGAAATAATTTTGATAAAACATGTTTAAGAACCGCCGCCAGAAAACCTGCTTTTAAATCTAAAACAAAACCGCACCCAAATCGGGTCATCTGTTTAAGAGCTACGGTACCACAGACAGACACACATAGCGGTCAAACTTATAACCCTCTTTTTGCGTCGGGGGTTAAAAATTGTATGAAAATATGAAAAACACCCCCTGGCGAACGTAAATGGAAAGCAACTCGAAGCAAAGTCAAAACGCAAAGTCAATAGATCGCGATTCGAATTCGAAACGATAGAAAATTCTAGACACACGGCGGTGTTTCAAAGAAATCATAGATATAGAAATGTACAATATTTTTTTAGAAGTATAGTTGTAGCACGAATGGGTCGGCTCGGCCGGGGAAGGACCACGCTCTCACAGTATACCAGCGTAAAATAGCAGCTTAACACTGCTGTGTTTCGTATGGTGAGTGTAGAGAACAGGAGACCCTTTTTACTGGAAAAGGGGCATTCCATCTTAGTCCTCACGGCTGACAACGCATCTGCAGTTTGATTTTTTATTGAGGATAGATGTAGATATCTGCGGGTCACAGCAACCACTTACCATCAGGTGGACTGTGTGCTCGTTTGTCACCCTATCCTATAAAAAAAATACGGAGCTTAGCACTCATTTAGTTCTCAACTCTAATAAGCACAGCCGACAACCCTGAAAGATTATATGAAAAGGGTTATTATAATATTAAAGAATTTATGGATTATAATAAGCCCTGGGAAAGAGATGATCGCTACCAAGATATTTTTTAATTTGTTTTGTGTTGTTAATTACTGTGTAGCTTTAATGATTATACACTTAAATAGTCCCGCTGGGTTTCTTGCTGGTTCTTCCTAGGGTATGGGTATTATCCGAACCAGTGGTAAATTAAATATAAAAGTGACTTTCAATAAGTATTATTTATAATCTATATTGAATAAAAAATCTATAATCTATATTGAATTTCCCCGATAGTCGTATGTTGTTATGACCAAGCTTGGCTCTCTTTTCCCAACATATATATTTTTGTTTCAACATAATTGAAATATCAAATCTCCATATATTTTAAATAAAAATCTTCGATATATATCCACGTAATAAGGTACATAGTGTTCAAGTATATTGTGCCTTAAAAGATGTGTTTATGCATGCGTGTGTTTGAGCGTGTGTGTGAACGTGTGTGCGCGTGTGTGTGTGTGTATACGTGTGTGTATCCAAGTGCACTCGCTTAACTCTAAAAAGAAATCATGATTTACAACCATTTGTGACTGACGCTTAATTGAATTTAAAAAAAAATCGAACTTGTCCCCAAATGGAAAGCCGTTATCAAGAGTAAACAGAATCGCGTCATATTTTATTTTATTTAGAAATATTAATAATTATAGCACATGCTGATGAAGAAGGTAAGATTTTATAAATGATTATTTACTTGTTAATCTAATATTTCTATGGTTACGCGTATGTACATCAGTGCTTATATTTATTATTAGTAAGTAATATAAAAAAAATATTACGCCTATAATTAAATGAACGATCAAAATTAACCTCGTAAATATAAATCGCACGCTGCAGTATCACCTAAATGGGTGATGGAACCCAAAGATGAAGCGGTACTAGCCGGTGAAGCAGTCGCACTGCACTGCCAGACAACCGGATCGCCGACACCGCAGATCACTTGGTTGAAGCAAAGAGGTAATATTACAAACAATTATAATATTTAAATAAAATTGTTGAAGTTATAGAATCGAGATCTTGTTGTTACACAAATTTTGATATTGTAGAATATAAATTTGAACTTGAGATTGTCTCTGTCTTGCTTGTCTTAATCTCTCAAGCCGTTTGCTAATTTAGATATTTTTAGACTCTCGTTAAAATCTTTAGAAAACAATTATGTCTAAACCTCATTTCTCTTTTTAATCTTAGTATATAAAAATTAATGTTCGTTTGTTCGTATTATATGCGCTGGCATAACTTTCATCCGATTGCGCAAAAATTTTGTCAATTTACTGCTTGCACTTGCGGGAAAGTTATATGCATATTACAATTAATTTACAGTACCGACGTTTTCAAATTGATATTTCATTCAACTTCAATGAATATATTATCATTCCTAATTAAACAATATAACTTTTCCAAATTTAAAACGATATTTGTACAATTATTTCTTCTGCGACAGCAACGCGCCAGCTATTTTTTACTAAAAAATTAGATAAAATTATTAATTTTTAAATTTTGAAGTTAATTCGCCAACACAGACTTCATAGACTGACTAGAAATACGTAGAGATTTAAGTAAACATAAGTTTTTCTACGTGGTCAAGCAATTATTGTGGCAGTCGGACGAATAGATCGGCTTGACAGAATACAACGTAAAATAGCAGCTTAATGCTGCTGTGTTTCGTGAGTGTAGAGAACCGGAGGCCTTTTTACTGGAAACGAATTATTCCATGTTAGTCCTCAAGGATGACAACGCATCTGCATTTTGATTCTTAATTGAGGATAGATGAAGGAGTCTAGCTATCCCGCACGGAAAAAGTATTTGTATGGACTACACTATAGTAATTGTTCCGGACCTGGTTGTTTTTCCTTGTGAAATGTATGTGTGTTAACTGTTCCCACTATAGAGAAGACAATCCTAGTATGGAGGTAACATTTTTTTAAATAAAAAAAGAATAAAAACACTATAGTTGAATTGTCATTATATGGTGCAAATTTGCAGTAGGATCACCGTCAGATTTCATCCCGCTGGTGAACCTGGGCGGCCGCTTCCAGTTCTTGTCCAACGGGACCCTGTGGATCGAGTCCGCGCTGCCGTACGACGAAGGCCACTACATGTGCCGATCGGAGAACGGCGTTGGCTCTCCTCTCACAAAAACTATTTTTGTCGCTATCAATGGTCAGTCTTTAAAATTCTTGTACATTATCAATTTTTTTTACAATATGTGTATTGAATAAAACTACTTTTACGGATTTTATCGCGTTTAATTAACTTATTTTTCTTATTTTTATTAATTCCCGACGTTTCGGATGCTTACCAGCACACATGGTCACGGGGGACTGAGGTGATTGTCGTCCCGATGTCAGAGTTAACCCGGAGTACCTTCAGCTTTTTTAATTATTATTGTATATTTTAATTATTATTGTATATAAGTTAATTAGACGCGATAAAATCCGTAAAATTAGTTTTATTCATTGTGTAGTGTTCGCGAAGATATAAGAAATCAATATGTGTATTTTAATTGAAACGGCAAGAAATTCCGATACCAAATTCCGTAAGGCCGATGGTCTTGCGCCTGATCTCCATTCGGTCGTGGCAAATTTCAGACCTGGACTATATGAGTAAGGGAAAAGAGAGAGCACCTGTGCGTGATAATTGTGTAATAACTCCGAATTGTTATTTTAGAGATGTCTATTTTCCCTTCATTAGGGTGACTATGTTTACGACTTTGAATTATTTTAAATATTTTTATCGAATTCAAATGTCTTAATATAAAAAATTTATCATAAATTAGTAGAGTACATTGGTGGATTAATTTAAGAATATGTTAGTAAAAACAAAAGTAACTATACCATGTGCTTCTACTTCTATGTACTATATTTTTTTTCAAAACAGTAAAAGCGTCATCCGGTATACATCCTACTAATATTATAAACGTGAAGGTTTGTGAGGATGTATGGATGTTAGTTACTCTTTCACGCAAAAACTACTAAATGGATTTTAATGAAACTTTACAATAATATAGCTCATACATCAGAATAACACATAAGCTATAATTAATAAAAATATTGTGTAAATTGGCCAACATATAACAATAAATTGTAAAGTAAGTCTGAAAAAAATCTGCGAGCTATTTTGGCGTGAGGTGCAAAAACTGGAAGAGTTACACGAACATAATGTATGTACACGTATGGTAAAATTGTTTCTCCTGAATAGCTCTACAAAAAAAGTCTGCGACAGTATATATGTATATTATATGTGTAAGCCATTATTATCAACATAGTGAACCATAAATACAATAAAATTTGATACTTTATTTCCATTGCACATTTTCCAAAATAAATACTTTTATCGCTTTTGATAATCAAAGTAGATGATAAACTTTGTCTTTTAAACTACGTGATTTGGTCAAATATATTAAAATTTACGACGATATAAAATTGTGCGTTCCGGCGCGCGCAGGGCGGTCGGGCGCACTGCGGGTACGGGCGAGGTGGGGGAAAACATTTCTCATCTACATAATTATATCTATCTATCTATTACTATAATAAAACTCTAACATGGCGTCTGTGTGAACACGCATCACGCAAATACCTGTGAACCGATTTGGATGGGACTTTTACTGGCAGATAGCTAATGTTATATGGCTGATGTTATATACTATAAGTAACTTAGGTTACTTTTATTTAGGGTTCTGCGGAAAAAAATTCACGCGGGCGAAGTCGCGGGGAACAGCTAGTATTCAATAAATTACTTATGATTATTTTCTTTAAAATATATTAATTTTGTTACTTGACAAATTGAGATTATTGATTATTGATTGGCAGAATGATTTTTTTTACGTGTTAGAGCCATGCTGCAGATATATATTATGGTTGCAGCACGAATGGGTCAACTCAACCGGGGTAGGACCACGCTCTCACAGTAGACCAGCGTAAAATAGCAGCTTAATGCTACTGTGTTTCGTATGGTGAGTGTAGAGAAACGGAGACCCTTTTTACTGGAAACGAGGCATTCCATCTCAGTCCTCAGGGGTGAGAACGCATCTGCATTTTGATTATTGAGGATAAATGTAAATGTCTATGAGCCACAGCTTCCACTTACCATTAGGTCGACTTTGTGCTCGTTTGTCACCCTAATTCTATAAAAAAACATTATTTATAACATCTATATGAAATCAATCGGTCAAGTAAAATTTATATCTGCACAATTCGTGCCCCAACCCGAATATAATTATTAAGATGTTTCTAAAAATTCAGATAATTATATAAGTATATTAATTTTAATTTTAATACATTTAAATATTTATTATAAATATATAAATGTAAAATATAAACATATAATAAAATATATAAATTTATATAAAAATATAGAAAAAAAATTATAAATATCTCACCACGCCATGGGTTGACTGGCAGAGAATGCTTAAAGTTTTTAAATAAATAAATAAATAAAATAAATATAATCTACACCTGCTTGAGTTTCTTTTAATTATATTTTTACAATCCCGAAAACACCGACCTTCAAAATAACCATTTAAGTCAATAATTCGAATTTACACCGAACACCACTATATTCTTTGAATAACCAGTAAAGATAGTTTGAAAGTTACAACACAGATTAAATAATGGTTACAGTACTAAAAGATACGACATTCTCAATACATTAAAACAGGTGTTCGTGTAGAAAAAATTAAATTATAATAAAAGAAAAGAAAGTCGACTAACAACAGAGTTATTTAAGCAATCAACATAATATACCGCCACGCACATCGGTAATTTTCATCTGTCGGAGCTAAAAATTCATGGCTAATAAAGTTTTGTGTGCCAATTTGGAGAATGGCATGGAGTAACGTGAACCGAGACAACAAAACTCGAGTGTCGCGCGTAAAAACTTGCGTAAAACGTCGAACTTAATTTGCTCTTTACCTACTTAGAGTTATTTCGACTTGGGGTCAACATCTTGTATTTTGTGTCATTTGTCTTTACGTGAAATGTTCTGAAACAAGTTTATTGTTAGGTACTGTTAAAATAAAAAAATATACAAACTTCACATTATATCTGTAATATTTTGGAATTTAATTTATTAACTGCCAATTACTTAACGGAAAAATAAAAGGTCGGAAACGGGGTATAAGGAAATCGCGCGCGTTATTGTGTGTGTATTCGTTCGTTCGTTCGTTTCGCATAATAATGTGGTTGAACGACAACATGAGCAGACCAAATCAAACCGAAGCTTAATTTTCTAAAAGATTTACAACTATTTATTTATAACCTTTTCGCAATGAATTTATGATTCTAGAGCCAGCCCGGTTCGAACTGACATCGCACAACGTGTCAGCGCGACGAGACGCGCCGGCGACGCTCACTTGCGAGGCTCGCGGCGACGCACCCCTTCGACTCACTTGGTCCCGGGGTCCACGCCCGCTTGACCTCTCAACCTATAGGTATATAAACGAAGACCTAAATATCCTTTTGGCTTAAGAAGGCAAGGGAGATCGAACGCCTTAATAGAAATTCTTCCCGGGAATGTCCCAAGCGGCACTCTTAAAGTTTAATCTTTATATAATATATATGTAGAATCGTATGGAAACTTTGATATTGTGATTTAGGTTTATGCTACATCCTCACAGTCAGGTTTGAGCATAGCAACATTATTCGGTTGTTACATAATAGTAAAATTAAATCAATGATTTTAAAACAGTTTTTCAAACCACTAGAAATCACGTTTTTATTTATTGTAGCTTCGTCTTCGTCAACACCCGTATAGTGTTCATTCATCGTTATATACGAGGGCAGCACTGAAAATTTCGGGAATCAAGGAAGTGACACAACATTACTATTTAAAAATGTATTTATTGCTTTTCGAAGTATTCTCCACGAAATTTGACACATTTTTCCATACGATGGAACCAATCATTGAAGCAACCATTCCATTCGGAAGTTGGGGTCTCCAAAATGGCCGTTTTGTAGGCGTCCACAGATTCTTCAGGTGATGAAAATCTCTGTCCACGCAATTTATTCTTTATTTTAGGGAAAGTAGAGAAATCATTAGGGCTTAGGTCGGGGCTGTACGGCGGATGGTCTAATAATTCTGTTTTCTTGCTCTAAAAACTCTTTTGTTCTGTGTGCGATGTGAGAATTCGCATTGTCGTGATGGAGGATGATGCGGCGGTTGCAGTTCTCTTTACGGATTTCAGAAACGACCTGTGGCAAACAAATGCTAGCATAACATTCTGCATTAACCGTTCTTTGCCCCTCAAGAGGAATAGTCGTAACATGGCCGGTTTTGGAGACAAACGTGGCCACCATTTTTTTTGCAACACTCCGTGAACGAACAATTTTTGTTGGCTTTAACTCATTTTCGAACACCCAAACTCGTGACTGGATTTTTGTTTCGGGTTCGTACGCGTATATCCAGGATTCGTCACCGGATACTATGTTGTATACAGCATTTGAGGATCCTGCGTGGAATCTTTCGAGAGTTCTGACGCACCAAGTAACGCGAGCCGCTTTTTGCTCTTCACAGAGCGAATGCTGTATCCATCGGGAAAACAACTTTTTACACCTAATTGTTCATGCAAGATTATTTGTATTTGACTCATGCCAATGTCTAAAGTTGCCTGAATTTCGCGGTATGTCACATGTCGATCTTCCTCAATCAGTTTACGCAGAGCATCGACGTTTTCTTGGGTGACTGCAGTTTTTGGACGACCTTGACGGGGATCATCACTGAGCTTGACACGTCCACGTTGAAATTCAGCAAACCAGCGATAAATTGTGGTTTTAGATGGGGCTTCATCACCAAATTCAGAAATCATCCGGTCAACACACTGTTTTTGTGTTAAACCACTTCGAAAGTCATAATAAATCATCGCTCTTGAATTTTCTCGAATTCCATTTTCTCAACGACTAAACAAGTTTGATAAAACCTTGTGGCAAGACCGAGAATCTTTTTTTAAATAAATAAATGCTATTCGATTTTTAAAACCAAGGAGTTTTCAATTAAAAAGATTTTAATATGACAGGAACAGTGGAAATATTCTATTCCCGATACTTTTAGTACAGCCCTCGTATATAGAACAGAGAACGCTCTGTTCTAATCTGTGACTGTTAACATATTAACAAGTTATATAGGTTATATGGTGATTATATAGGTTGTTTTAAATTTAACAGATTAACTAACCACCGACATTTTACTGCATACATCATCAGTCTGTAAATTTAATGCTGTTTTAGAATCATCATTATTAAAATAAAGGATGACTCTATGTTTTATTAATTTGAATTCTAATCAGCACGACAGATACATTGTAATTACCAAATACTTAGAAAAATGTGTTAGCAAGTTTGTAAGAATTAGCACCGAAATTACCTCAACTTTGTAAGCGCAAATTATTTATTTCGATCCGTGGACCTCATAACTTGCTTAACAGTAGATTATTTTATTTTATTTTATTTTATTTTATTTTTATTTGCTTGGAAAACTTACAGCTAATTTACAAAAATAATATAATTATAACAAAAATGAAGGCCATTTACAAGTTTTCACTTATATAATACTTTATATGACAAGAGTGTGTCAGAAGAGATATAGTAACAGTATACTTAAATATAAATTACATTATCAAAAAGAAAAGAAGTTGTTAGAAAGTAAACGCCTAAGTTGGATAACGCTGGAATGAAATAAATCAATATCCACATTGTGAGTATGTGCTATAGCATTAAAAGATCTGCATGATCGAATAATAAAAGAGTTTTTCCTGTAATTACTTTTCACGCATGGTACATATAAAAGTGTAGGTTTCCGCAAACCAGATGATGAGGTGTGTAAACCTATTTTACTTAATAGTTCAGGACAATCAATATTACCATTCATAATTTTAAAGAGGAAGGAGAGATCTGCAATATTTCTACGCTCATATAAAGGTAATATGTGATTTTTTTTACATCGAAGAGTATAGCTGGGTATAAACTTTTTTGATTTAAATTGAACAAAACGCAAAAATCTTTTTTGTATGCGCTCTATCCTATCCACATATTCATTATATTTTGGGTTCCAAATTTCAGAACCATATTCCAAATGGCTGCGTACAAAAGCGCAATATAGAATTTTGAAGGTTTTTATGCTTTTAAAATCTGCCGATAACCTTAATATGAAACCCAGCGCTTTGTTAGCCTTTGTAACGATGTTATCAACGTGATTGTCAAACAGCAATTTAGAGTCAAAAGTAACACCGAGATCTTTGATAGTGCTGGTTCTATTTATAGAAATATGGTTTAATTTATAATTATAAATTATAGGATTAGGTTTACGAGTAAATGAGCAGATAAAACATTTGGAAACATTCAGATCGAGTTTATTGTTAGAACAGTATGCTTCTAAATTGAAGAGATCGTTTTGAAGGCTAGAACAACTTTCCAAACTTGTAATAGGACATAAGATTTTCATATCGTCAGCGTAAAGAATAATCTTGGAATTTTTAAAACACGTGTCGATATCATTGATAAAAATTAAGAAGAGCAAGGGCCCCAATAGGGATCCTTGTGGTACGCCAGACGATATATGGATTGCAGACGAACGATATCCACCAAGGACGACAGATTGACTTCGATTTCTGATGTATGACGTAAACCATCGGAATAAGTCCCCCCTGATACCCATTGCAAGGAGTTTACGTAAAAGAATTAAATGATCGATTCTGTCGAATGCTTTGCAGTAGTCTGTATAGACTACATCTACTTGTGCTGGTTTAGACATAAAGCTAGTTAGATAGTCAGAACAAATAACAAGGTTTGACACGGTAGATCTGTTTTTTAAGAAACCATGTTGATTTTCACTAAATGAGTGGCGAAGGGAAGAGTACACCTGGTTGTAAATTATTTTTTCAAATACTTTAGCGAATAAACAGAGCTTGGAAATGGGACGATAGTTTTGTACCTCATCCTTAGGTCCTTTTTTGTAAATTGGAGTAATAAACGCACTTTTCCAAATATTTGGAAAAATGCCTTCCTTTAAGGAACGGCGGTACAGAATACTCAGAGGCAAAGTAAGAGAGTCCGCACACCGTATGATTAAGATAGCCGGGATACCATCTGGTCCAGCAGACTTGTACAGGTCTATAGCCTTTAATAGTCTGGATACCTCTGCTTCTTGCACCTCGATGGAACTGATATCAATAGAAGATTGATCAATTTGCGAGTCAATAATATTAAAATTAATTGTGTCGGAATCGTTAAGAAAATTAGATTTAAAAAACTGATTGAAAAAATCACAAATTACTTCACCTTTGCCTGAAGAATACTGTCTGAATTTCATAATAGAAGGATATGAACTTGGAGATTTTTTACTCTTAACAAAGTTCCAGAAGGCTTTCGGTGATTTGCTTATATTATTTTCTATATCACGAATGTAAGCTTCGTACATACTTTTTTCAAGAACCTTCCCACGTTCTCGTAATAAAACAAAAGAATCAAGGTCGGAAGTATTTCCATATTTTTTATACTTTGAGTGATACTTAAATTTTTCTTTTATCTGTAATAAAAATTGGATTAATAAAAAGAAATGGTTATTCTTTATATAGTTCTATTTTATTATTTCAGGCTAAGTATATCCGAAGCAAAGACTGATAGTGGTTTAAGGTCTCAGTTGTACATCAGTAGAACCGACAGACAGGACTCTGGTGTCTACAAGTGCCAAGCCGTCAACGCGTTTGGTCATAGCGACCATTATATTTATCTTTCCGTCCAAGGTGAGTGAACGCTGTACTTACATGTATGATAGAGTAAAAATACTAAAGTTACGTTAAATTGGTAATGTGAAAGATAAAGGGCATATGCTTATGTTGGAACGAGATAGAATGGCTAGACCATACATCATGTACACGCTATAGGCCTATGTCGAGCTGACGTCAATCGTTAACGAAACAAATCCCGCTTATTTTCGCGTTATCTTTTGATTTTGAAGTATAAATAAGTATTCAAAAGATATGATTAAATATGGTGACGTGTGCAGTACTTGAATGCAGTTCATCGAGAAAGAAAATCCACAAAATCATGCATTTCACACATAATTATAATTAAAATATTTAGCACTCCAAATGCAAATTTTTAGAAGTGGTACAAATGTTTTATACACAAATGGATAGAGAATATATCGCATTTTATTACGATAATGCTCTAAGTGCGTAAGTAACAATTATTTAAAAAATAATAACAAATACGTGAATTCCCGCTATTTCTGATTTAATTTATGTATAGATTGACACAATCAATATCATCTTATCGATAATAATTGATAGAATCAGGCGTTACTTTGCGGAAATCCATTATAATGGGGTTGTTATAAATTAATTTGCTTAATTCCGCGTAAAGAAAAAAAATGATGTGTCCTGTCCAGTTTTAAGGGGACCTCCCACCCTCCCTCAACCTCCATTCATGGCATGAGGCACCTGAGGATGCCTCGTGTATATTATATGCCTCGAAACACGTGTCGTACTTTCGAGAGTGGTGTGTCGTGTCTAGTGTGGTGGTGTTGGGGATGGTAGTGCTGGGATTGACGGCGACGGATATAGTGCGCGCGATTGAGGGTCCCCTTAAAACTGGACCGGACACATCATTTTCTTTCTTTACGCGGAATTAATTTATAACAACCCCATTATCGCCGTGTAGTGGCGGTCAAGAATATCCACTACCCCATATCCTCCCGTGGGTGTCGTAAAAGGCGACAAAGGGAAACAGGCAGGAGATGGGCAGCAGCATCTTCCTGATAATAGCCAAAATTACAATAAAAAAACTGCGGTTGCCAACCCGCTCGCCAAGCGTGGCAACTATGGCAAATACCCCCCTATGAATGTAACAAAGAGACGGCCCCCAGTCCCCGGCGGCCCCGCTATTCCTGGCTACGGTGGCGACCATGGTAACGGCGGGGCAGGGGGTGCTAAGAATCTCCAGTGGAGGTTCGGTTGCCTTAGACGACTCGACCTGGCAACGTACAACGCACGCACCCTGAGGACTGACGAGAAGATCGTGGAGCTGGAAGAAGAGATAGACAATTTGCGCTGGCATATTATAGGATAATCCGAAGTCCGAAGAGGGGGGAGGACACGGTAATCCTCGAATCCGGCAACTTGCTCTATCACTGGGAGGGCGACCATCTGTCCCAAGGAGGTGTAGGATTTATCGTCCACAAGTCTCTCGTTAACAACGTAGTAAAGATCGGGAGTGTGTCGACGAGGGTTGCGTACCTTATACTCAGAATCACCAAACGGTATTCGCTGAAGGTCATACAGGTTTACGCACCAACCTCGGCACACCCCGATGAGGAGGTGGAGGAAATGTATGAGGATATCTCTAGAGCCATGCATTCCTCCAAAACCCAATATACGGTGTTAATGGGAGACTTTAATGCAAAACTAGGCACAAGAGAGAACGGTGAGCTGAAAGTAGGGAAATTTGAAATAGGGCAACGGAACCCAAGGGGCCAGCAGCTGGCCGACTTCATGGAGAAAGAGGGACTCTTTATGATGAACTCTTTCTTCCAGAAGCGGCCCCACAGGAAGTGGACCTGGTCGAGCCCCGACGGTTCGACAAAAAATGAGATTGACTTCAGTATGACTACCAGACGACAACTGTTCAGTGATGTCTCCGTGATCGCGAGGGTGAAAACTGGTAGCGATCACCGAATGGTTAGAGGCACACTGAACCTAAACGTCAAGTTGGAGAGGTCTCGTCTAATGAAGTCAACGCTCCGTCCCCCTCGTGCTCTGTTCCAAAGTCCCGAAACCTTTCAGCTCGAGTTACAAAACCGTTTTCAGTGCCTAGAAGACTGCAATGAAGTGGACGATATGAATGACAAGCTCGTGGAAACTGTCCATGCGGTCGGAGCTAAGTTCTGCAAGACCCGCCGCAGAAGAACACAAAAACTCTCCGATCACACTCTTAATCTCATGGCTGTTAGACGGGAGATGAAGCTACATTCTTCAACAGACTTGACAGCATACAGGCATCTGAACAGACAGATCTCCAAATGCATGCGGCGGGACTTACGCAACTTCAATACAGCTCGTATTGAAGAAGCGAGAGCGGAACCAAGGCTCCAAATTCTTTGCCAGAGATCTGTCTGCCAGAAAGAGCCAACTGTCAAAGCTGAAGACGGAGTGTGGCAGCATCGTTTCCGGGACACCTGAGATTTTGAGTGAGATTGAGAGGTTCTATGGTCAGCTGTACACGTCATCGTTGGAGCCACACGCAAGTGTGAGTAACGATCCAAGAGCGAGTCTCATCCGACACTATTCCGAAGATATCCCGGACGTCAGTCTGAGCGAGATTAGAATGGCTCTCCAGCACCTTAAAAACGGCAAGGCCCCAGGCGAGGATGGAATTACAGCGGAGCTTCTGAAAGCGGGTGGAAGACCGGTACTTGAAGTCCTTCAGAAGCTCTTTAATTCCGTCCTCCATGGTGGCATTACACCGGAGGCGTGGAGCAGAAGTGCGGTGGTCTTGTTCTTCAAGAAAGGTGATAACGCTCTCTTGAAGAACTACAGACCGATTTCCCTTCTGAGCCGCGTCTACGTGCTGTTTTCGAGAGTCATTACGAATCGTCTCGCGCGCAGACTTGACGACTTCCAGCCTTCCGAACAAGCCGGTTTCCGAAAGGGCTTTAGCACCATAGACCACATACATACCCTCCGGCAAATTGTACAGAAGTCCGAAGAGTACAATTTGCCACTATGTCTGGCGTATGTGGACTATGAGAAAGCCTTTGGTTCCGTCGAAATTTGGGCGGTGCTGCAGTCCCTTCGGCGGTGCCAAGTTGACTGTCGGTATATCGAAGTGTTGAAGTACTTGTACAGTAGGGCTACGATGGCTATCCGAGTACAGAACTAGAGTACGAAACCTATCCAATTGCAGAGAGGTGTAAGACAGGGTGACGTCATATCCCCGAAACTCTTCACCGCTGCATTGGAAGACGTTTTCAAGCTTCTGGACTGGAAAGGATACGGTATCAACATCAATGGCGAGTACATCACTCACCTTCGATTTGCCGACGATATAGTCCTTATGGCAGAATCACTGGAGGACCTAAGCACTATGCTCAATGACCTCAATAGTGTTTCCCAACGGATAGGTCTTAAGATGAACATGGACAAAACAAAGATCATGTTCAATGTCCATGTCACACCTATGCCGGTAGTTGTTGGAAGCACTAAGCTCGAAGTTGTTGACGAGTATGTTTACCTGGGACAAATAGTCCGACTAGGTAAGTCCAACTTCGACCGAGAGGTCAATCGACGGATTCAACTCGGCTGGGCAGCGTTCGGGAAGCTACGACACATCTTCTCGTCAGACATACCTCAAAACCTGAAAACGAAATTGTACAACCAGTGCGTGTTGCCAGTGATGACTTATGGAACTGAGACGTGGTCCTTCACTGCTGGCCGTATGAGGAAGCTCAAGGTCGCTCAGCGAGCTATGGAGAGGGCTATGCTCGGAGTTTCTCTGCGTGATAAACTTAGGAATGAGGATATCCGCAGTAGAACCAGAGTAACCGACATAGCCCAACGGATTAGTAAGCTGAAGTGGCAGTGGGCCGGCCATATAGCTCGAAGAACCGACAACCGATGGGGAAGAAAGGTTCTCGAGTGGCAGCCTCGTACCGGTAGGCGAAGTGTAGGGCGTCCCCCCACGAGATGGAGTGACGACCTAGTAAGACATGCAGGAAGTCGATGGATGCAGGTGGCTCGGGACCGTGCTTTGTGGCATTCTTTGGGGGAGGCCTATGTTCAGCAGTGGACTTGTGAAGGGCTGTAATGATGAATGATGATGAACCCCATTATCGATAATATGTTTATAACAGGCAAAAGCATATCTGTGGATGCAGCAAATAACTACGTAATTTTTTCTTAATTTTCTATTTTTGATTTTTAGGGTATCGTAGCCCAATGTCATTATAGTAAATACTTTAATGAAATAATTTAAACTCTTATAATGTTTTGGATTTCCAAAGAATATTGAGGTTAAACAAAAATGGTTAAAAATGATAAATAGAGAAGACTGGGCTCCCAAAAAATATTCAACTGTATGTTGAATATTTTTGAATGTGTTGTGTCGAAGTGCACAAAGAGTAAAGCTGCGTTCTGTTTCAATACCCACATTATTTATGCCCGTGCGTAACTACGCACGGGCATATGATGATCTGTATGAATGGTCATATGTACAGTAAAATATATAATAAGGAACTCCCTATTATATATTTTACTGTACATATGATCATTTCGTTTGCGCATGTTCAAATGTGTACAACTTGTTATCGTCATCCTTATGATGTATATTTAAAAAAAAATGAAAGTAAGAAAGGAACACGGATGGGGAAGCTCAAGGTCGCTCAGCGAGCTATGGAGAGGGCTATGCTCGGAGTTTCTCTGCGTGATAAACTTAGAAATGAGGATATCCGCAGTAGAACCAGAGTGACCGACACAGCCCACAGATTAGTAAGCTGAAGTGGCAATTGGCAGGACATATAGCTCGAAGAACCGACAACCGATGGGGAAAAAAGGTTCTCGAGTGGCGCCCTCGTACCGGCGGACGAAGTGTAGGGCGTTCCCCACTAGATGGAGTGACCACCTGGTAAGATATGCAGGAAGTCGATGGATGCAGGTGGCTCAGGACCGTGCTATGTGGCATTCTTTGGGGAAGGCCTATGTTCAGCAGTGGACTTGTGAAGGGCTGTAATGATGATGAACAAAGGAACTTATAACAAAGAAAGCTACAAATATGATTCACCCCTGAGGACTAAGACAAAATACCTTATACACGTTATTAAACAAGTTCTCTATAGACAACAGGCCGGAACGCGGCAGTGTAAGCACTGCTATTTACTTCTGTTTATCCCTCTAAAGACGTTTATGAGATAGGAAAACTCGTTCAGAACAAATTGTGAACGAGTTTTCCGAAAATTTATGAAAGGAAAAATTGTAAACGAAAATATGTTTCGAAAATTAGTAAACGAATGCCTTGTGTCTTGCAAAAAAATTTTAATATACTTGACATACATATGTATGATTTGCCAGCAATATCAAACCATAAACACTTAATTATTAAATTAATAATCGAAACTTATTTCATTATTGGATTGAAGTATGAAGCAAAATTGCAAAATACCTCTAAGGAGAGCTTACTACGACATTTTAATTAATAGAATCAGGCGTTACTTTGCGGAAGTCCATTATACTAAAGTTGGTAAAAGATCACTTCCCGTACATCCGCTTGATAAAATAAAATGATGGGAAAAGACACACCACCGACGATGGTGGTCGGTGGTGTGTCTTTCCTAGTGTACCTAGTGGTGTTGGCAGTAGTGGTGACGGGGATAGTGCACGCAATTGAGGGAGGGCGAGAGGTGCTCTTCAAACTAGGTAAGACACATCATTTCATTTTATCGAGCGGATGTACGCAAGTAATTTTTTACCAATTTTATTACGACATTTTTACAAATAAATTAATTATTTTTGGTGGAAATAAAAATCACATTTTGTTTGTAGTTGTATTTTTATGCTCGCAAACAATTTTATGGCGGACACAGCGCTCTGTATCGATAATAGAAGTTGATGCATGGCGCAGCAATATTCTTCTCGCACACATGCACATTTCACTCACACCGGTACATTTCGTTTTTGGTCTCACTCTAACCACTCCACCGCCAATATAATGTAATTGAAAGTCATGCGAGCTTTACCAGTTAGATATCACAATGTTATCACAGAAAAACCAGAAACGCCCCAGTCGCTGTCGGTGACGGAGATCATGAGCCGCGCGGTGCGGCTGTCATGGAGCCAGGGCTTCGACGGCAACTCGCCGCTGCAGGCCTACACCGTGCAGCACTGCGCGCTCTCCGTGCGCGCCTCGCACTGGGACTCCGCCGACACCTTCAACGTCTCCGTCCACGCGCCGCACGTGCCGCACTCACACGTCACGTGAGTAGTGTTCATCCATTACTGCCTAAAGTCCACTCCTAAATGTAGACCTCCCCTACAGATGTACGTCATAGAGATTTTTGGCATAGTTGCCATGCTTGGCAAGTGGATTAGCAGCCGCAGATTTTTTATTAATTTGAATTGTTATCAGGAAGAAATCGCTGCCCATCTCACGTTTTATTTTCCCTCTGTCGCCTCTTACTACACCCACGTATTGATAAGGGGCAGTGGATTCTCTAACGTCCCGCTATATGGCGAAAGTACTATCCACAATCTTTTAGCCATACCTTATTTCTATTTCTATTTGAAGCTATATCTTTCTCATTTAAAATAATTGTCTCTTCTTTCTCTAACTACAAACTCCTCTGAAAATCTTGAGTCGAGGCTGCAGCTCTCCTTCAAATTAAAATCATCGATCCGCCCTTGGTTTTAAAGACCATGATACATTAATGTGATTTTCGCAAATGACCCTTTGCACTATCCAAAGGACGAGCCAAGGGGTGAACTATTTTATACCATCTCCTGTCTTTACATAGACACAACATCCCTTTTCAGTGATGTTCGTGTTTTAAGCCAAGAACCTTGTAAGAGTACAGCTTCATCAGACGAATCGGCAGCCTTAAAAAACATTAACCGATAAAATCTTCACAATATAATCATTTAATAATATTCACCTAAATCGGCAAGCTAACCGCGAAGATATGTTACTAATTACTTTAAATTCAAGTGAAGTGATAACTTTCTTCTTTTTGACGTCATTTATCGGAATGACGATGTAATTAACTATTAATTATAATCTTCCAATTTTCATAGACTAACCAAAAAAGGAGATGTCCATTATGAGGCTTTGGTGAGCAACCTGAAACCTCACACGGCCTACATGATTCGCATCGCCGCCATCAACGAGATAGACCGCAGCGCTTTCACTGAGCCTGTCGTGGTGAAGACTCAAGAAGAAGGTTGGTCATAATAGATTTCAAAGTTATTTTAATTTTTCAACGACATACACTGTTCTTTTTACCTTATTATCTTAAAATATAATAAGGCAACATATAAGTCCACTACTGAACATAGGGCTTCCCCATAGATTGCCTCATAAGGGAGATATTTGCAATAGTTGCCGCACATGACAAGCGGATTGGTTTTTTTTTTTATAGAATAAGGGTGACAAACGAGCATGCAGTCCACCTCATGGTAAGTGGATGCAGCCCATAGACATCTACATTTATTCTCAATTAAAAATCAAAATTCAGATGCGCCGCCACCGCTGAGGACTGAAATGGAATACCTCGTTTCCAGTTAAATGGGTCTCCGGTTCTCTACACTCACCATACGAAACACAGCAGCATCAAGCTGCTATTTTACGCTGGCATTCCGCGAGAGCGCGGTCTCTCCTCGGTCGAGCCGACCCATTCATGCTACAACCGTACTACCAATATAGCTGCAGCATGGCTCTACCACGTAAAAAACGTATTTCTTATTTTCTTTATTTCTTTCCTCTACGTTTTGTCGCGTAGTGGCTGCATAAGTGTATTCACTAACCCATATCCCGTAAATGTCGTAAGAGGTGACAGAGGGAGGTAAAACAGAAGATGGGCAGCAGTATCCTTCGTATAAGAACTTAAAATAATAAAAAATGCGATTGCCAACTCGTTTGCTAAGCGTGATAACTATGGCAAATATTTTTCCTACTAGACGATCTAAGGGAGGTCTATATTCAGCTGTGCTGTTAATTTTTTACGCGGTGGAGCTATGCTACAACTATGTTATGGATGAAGTACGAATGGGTCAACTCAATTAGGGGGGCCATGCTCTCACCAGAATACCAGCGTGAAATAGCAGCTATATTTTATATGAGTTTGTGTGGAGAACCGGAGACTTTTACTGAAAACGAAGCATTCCTCCCATTCTCTCAATCTCCGTTCTTCACACAGTTTATTCCTGTCCACTCCTCTCCACCATTCTGGGTCTATGTAAAATTCTTTCACAATTACTTCCATTATCCTGAACAAATTGCCTGTTGACATGCGAACAATACCTGCCAAAAATGTTTTTAAAAAAAAACTATATGAGTATAAATGTAGTCTACAAAGTTGAGTCAACTTATTTCATATGTTTATAGTTATTTATATATACATTTATTGAGATATATATGTGTAAATGTGTGTATTTATTTATATATGTATATGAATTATATTATATATATATATATATATATATATATATATATATATATATATATATGTCTGCGTGTGTGTGTATTTTATGTATGTGTTGCATGTATATAGTTGAACTGAATTATATCATGACAACTTAACTGCCTAAACTCACTCTCTGTTCTACCAAAGGTTAGCTGGTAGAGAATGCCATATAGCATTAAGCTCGCCTTTTGTACAAATATTTAGTGCAATAAAGAATAAATAAATAAATTCCTACTTAGTCCTCAGGGGCGAAAACGCATCTAAATTTTGATTCTTAATGGAGGATAGATGTAGAGGTATATAGACTCCAAAATCCACTAACCATCAAGTGCACTGTGTGCTCGTTTGTTACTTTTATTTTATAAAAAAGGAAGGGCTGTAACGAATGAATGGGCACTCACCAGCAGCGCAAATATCATCAGGTGGACTGTGTGCTCGTTTGTCGCCCTTATACTATAAAAATAAAGGGCTGTAATGAATGAATGAATGAATTGGCGGGCCGTGACAGCGCCGTCGGAGGCGCCGAGCAACGTGCAGGTGTCGGCGGGCGCGCCGGGCGAGCTGCACGTGTCGTGGCGGCCGCCGGCGCGCGCCGCCTGGCACGGCGAGCTGCTGGGCTACTCCGTCACCTGCACCGAGCTGGGCGCCGCCGCCACTGACGGCCACGAGGCGCCCGGGAACAACGCCTCCAGGTTACATTTATATTTTTCATTCACTTAATAGAGAATTATATTCACTTACTAGAGAACAACGCCTCCAGGTCAAATATATTTATTTCACTTACTAAATAGGATTCATTTTCTAAGAATACATTTGGATAGGTTTTTGAGTACTATTATTGATCGAAGGTTTTTGACATTGAACTGAACTGACCTGCGACTACTCACTGCTGAACATAGGCCTCTCCTCTCAGAGGGATAATTGCCATAGCTGCCACACTTAACTGACGGACAGACAACTGCAGTATTTTATTTTTTAGTTAATAGTAAGCATATGCTGCTGCCCATCTCCTAATTTGTTTCCCTGTGTCTCCTCTAATATCCACTACATGGTTAATATATTTCAATAATAATAATAATAATAATTTCTTTATTTGCTTAAAACATGGTATATGTAGGTGGTACAGTAAAATAAGTTCACATGTTTTGCTTATAATTAGCATGCAAGTTTAAGTTTATGTTACATACATTTCAAATTACATTTATTACAAAAAGGATCAAATACATTCATAAAATTAATATCAACAAATTAATAATTAGTAAAGCCTAGTTAGTGAATTCTTTAATGTCATACACTTTTAGTTCAATAAGCCACTTACATAGTCTCGATTTAAATAAATGCATTTTGAGGTTTTTAATATCATTGAGGATCTCATTATATATCGTATCACACATTGCTTAACAACTTTTTCTGAATATACCAGATCTCAGAATGACGCTTGACACTAATTTATCCAGGTTTCTTTTCAATCTAGAGTTTATATCTCTGGCTTTCTGAAAGAACTCAGTATGACTTTTGACAAAACAACTCATTTAAAAAATGTACAGTGGAACGGAAGTAAGCCCTGGCTCCAAAAAGATACTCTACAGGACTCGCCCGGTGGAATCCCACATATGGCTCTGATGCATTTTTTTGTTTCTTAGTACTATTGCCCCATATCATAACCCCATAACGTAGAATGGAGGCTACATACGCGTGGCAAGTGGATATTGTGATAAGCTGTTTGCAAGTTAGAGAGCATAAACAAAGCTGTTGATACGCTTGCATAAGGAATAACACTACTTCATCAAAATTATTATATTTATTTCAGAACCCTAACTGTAAATGGGTGGTCGGCAACTGAGCTAAGTCTCTCGGCGCTAAAAAAGTTCACCCGCTACGAAGTGCGCGTGCGCGCGTTCAACGGCGTAGCGGCCGGGCCGGCCTCCCCCGCGGTCACGGCCACTACGCTGGAAGGAGGTGAAACATTGTTAACTCAATATTTTTTATATATAAAGAAAGGAAAGTTCCACCTGATGGCAAGTGGATATTGTGACCCATAGAATTCTTATATTATAGTTCAATACTAACAATAATAATTATTAATAATTATGTCCTTCACTGTCTCGTTAGTCTAGTGGTTCGGTCAACGGGCCAAAAAAAAATTAGTTATTGAGCTTTCCCATCAAGAAATTCTCAGTACCTGCCCGGAGTCAGGAAATTGCATATGTTTCACCCCCGTGCCTCGGAAGGCTACAGCCGTTGCTCCTGCGAATGATCTCTCTCCGGTCGTGTCAGTTTACCGTCCCATCGGACTATAAGAGTGACTGAATATAGAGTGCACCTGTACTTGCACCTACACTTAGGCATTATATTTCTGTCCTGCGCCGTTGGCTAGTCTCCGTTGAGGCTGGTTCCCGTGACCAAAATTCAGTCTGGAGGACATTATTAATTATCATCGTCATCAATCATTAATGAGTATTTTATGTTAATAAACATGAAGTATGTTAATGATAAGCTGCGAACTCTCTCTTTTTTAATTTTACGTACATGGTAGAGCCATGTTGCAGCTGTATTTGTAGTATAGTTGTAGCAAGAATGGGTCGGCTCGACCGGGAAAGGACAACGCTCTCACAGAATACGAGCGTAAAATAGCAGCTTAACACTGCTGTGTTTCGTATAGTGAGTGTAGCGAACCGGAGACCTATTTTACTGGATAAGACGCATTCCATCTTAGTCCTCACGGGTGATAACGCATCTACATTTTGATTATTTATTGAGGATAGATGTAGATGTCCATGGACCACAGCAACCACTTACCATCACGTGGATTATGTGCTCGTTTGTCACCCTATTCTATAAAAAAAAGATGGTGGGTATTTTTCTACCTTGAGTCCGAGCAGTGCTTCCCGTCCTTTTTTATAGAATAAGGGTGACACACGAGCACACAGTCCACGTGATGGCAAGTGGATATTGTGACCCATAGACATCTACATCTATCCTCAATAAATAATCAAAATGCAAATGCGGTGTCACGCCTGAGGACTAAGATGGATTGCGTCGTTTTCAGCAAAAAGAGTCTCCGCTCTTTGCACTCACCAGACAAAACCAGCAGCATTTAGCTGTTATTTCACGCTGGTATTCTGTGAGAGCGTGGTCTCACCCCGGTCGAGCCGACCCATTCGTGGTGCAGTCATAATATAGCTGCAGCGTGACACTACCACCTAAGAAAGAGATAATAGATATTCTCACACCGCCACTACATGGAAAGGATAGATTTTAAAGAAAACGTTGTACGCCAAAAAGCCACGATAAAACAGTACGGTAAAAGCCAATTCTTACCTATCTTACATATTTACTATATAAAGTAATAAAATTAACATACTCTAACAAGTCACGTATCTTCAGTTCCAGAGTCCCATCCAACAAGAGTAACGTGCTCAGCACTCTCGTCCTCCAGCGTAAAGGTGACCTGGAGCCCGCCGCCTGCTGACCAACGCGGCGGCATCATCCAGGGTTACAAAGTCATCTACACACCTCTAACTATTAACCACGGTTAGAACATAAAAACATGAAAGCATTTGTTTTGAATTTAACGATATAAAAATTTAAGTAACTGAAAATTAAAATTAAAAACCTTCGTCTTGTATGCTGTCGAGAAATTTGTTATTTACAGACTGTTCTGATTACAGCATCAGAGATTACCATACTATTGCAGTGTATTTGGATTAATATAGGTTACCAGCTCTCGAGTCGAACGGAAGAGTGATTTTTTAAAGGACTCTAATGTCAGTCGGTATTCAAGCCAAGGTGTGGAGAGTCAGATAAGACGTCACTATTTCCTTGTTGCCCAGGTTTTAGAGAGGTTTCTCTTATTAGGGCAAAGCAATTGGCAAAGCAGCACTTAAATCAACAAAAAATATTTGTATGGTCTACAAACAATTCGTTTTAGGTCTGCATGTGTATTTTAGTTATAGATATAGTCTAGATGCTGTGATGTTAATGCTGTTAGCCTATGCGGCTATTACAGCTTTATCGGACCCAGGGCTATAAAAAGGGGGAGAGGGAGATTATTTATTTTAGTGCCACATTGCGGGCGCGACGTTGCACTAAAATTGATAATCTTAGGAGGATAATATCGTGTTAAGTTTTGTGATCACATACCATGGATGAATTGTGTAACGGCCGACGACTAATGAACCGATGTATAAGTGAGTAATTGCTATTGTAAGCATTATGTAAAGTATATAAAAGTGATTTTTCATATAGTTTAAGCAGTCAAACTCTAACCTTTGTTCGGTACACAACTTTCTTATAATATTCCGAAGTGTAATTAAATTAAATTAGTTTTACAGCAGTAACAGGTGGTTTTTTTTTTAAAAATGACCCAAGGCGAGCCTTCCTAATAGTCCGAACAGGGAGTGACGGGCCCCGGCTCTGCCGGCGAACTCGTATCATTCGATGAATTTAGTTATACAAAACGCCTCTTTTAATACAGTAGAAGACCCTGGTGTCAAGATAAAGTTAAAAAATAAGGGCCTGTACAAAGCCCTACGTATATACCTTTCCTACCTATGTAGACTTTCAAACGCAGTGTAGTGGCGGCGTCGGAAAATCAACTATATCATACCGTAGGTATCGTAAGAGGCGACAGAAGGTAATGAAACAGGAAAAGGGGAAGCAGCATCTTCCTGATAACAAATTGTCAACCCGCCTGCCTAGCGTGGTATCTGTGGCAAATATTTACCCTATGAAGCAATTAATGAGTATGCCTATATTCCGCTTTGAACTTTTACTGGCTGTAATGATGATGATGACGTAACATTAGGGCACAAACACCTTTGCAATTCATAATTTATAAATTAAAAAAAAAACTCTAGCCAAGGCATGCACTGCTCATAGTCAGTGTAAGTGTTAGTAATAGGGCTGACATTTTTACTTGTGGTCTCAATGAGTTCCAGAAGGTGGCTTTGTATGTGTTAGATTATTTTTTTAAAAACTATAAAGTAGGAATTTATGTGTTACTTAAACTATTGTAATTATTTTTTAACTACTAATCATTGCAATGGGTAACCCTGTAATAGTAACTACCGCAAAGAATAACTTAAACCCATTACAAAGAGCTCATAATAAGGTAGATTCCTCTCAACTATAACCACCCGACACGAAGTAAAATATATAATGATACATGTTAAATGTATTGTATTACATGTTATTTGTAAAATAATAAAAATATTTATACTCATTTAAGTTTCAGTGAAAAGAGACAAGTTCAAAAATGTCAACTAAGGGGTCGTGCCCATCATGTGATATTTTTAACAACTTTATCATAAACTTGGTCATAAGGCAATTTATCAAAGCCTTCTTGAGTTAGTCTAAAAATATGCACTAGGTACCCCATATTGTCCAGTTGATGCCGTAAGAGGCGACAGAGGGCAACTTCCTGACAAAACACCAACATAACAGAAAATTATGAAAAATGGATAGATATATGAAAATTTTAAAAAGTTTATGTTTCCAGCCGACGTAGCCGAGATCAAACGAGTCACGACAACTGACACGTACCTGCACACGCTGCACAAGTACACCAACTACTCCATCCAAGTCCTAGCCTTCACTGGAGCCGGCGACGGCAAAAGAAGTCCTCCCGTGTACTGCATGACTGAAGAAGACGGTACTGTTAATATTTTAAAATATATATTTTTTTTAAATTTTACTAGCGGTAGCGGTTTATAAGAATCAATAATCCTAATTTGTCCCCAAGGTGTCGTAAGAGGCACGATGATATGAATTTTCTAGACCGAATTTCAGTCACGGCGGCCAATCTCAACGGGGACTCACCATCTGCGCAGCACAGTGCGTGCAACAAAAGTGTGTGCACAAGCACGGATGTACTCTCTATTTTCTCTCTCGTAGTCCGATAAGAAGGAAATCTGACACGACTGGCGAGATATAAACTGGAAACATAATTAAAGTGAAGTACCGGACGTCTACTTCATAATACTAAACCAAATTGACATATTTGCGTTTCGTTATACGCAATTTTAGTTAAATTTATTTATATCGTAATTAACACAAAACGAATTTCCGACATCCAAAAACAGTGTAAAAGGTTTAAGCTTAACCCTGACAAGCCTCCTAAACTGAAAACATAGGTAATTAAAATCAAGAACTGGACGTTTACTTCATAATACTAAACCAAATTGACATATTTGCGTTTCGTTATACGCAATTTTTTGTAAGATTTATTTTAATCATAATTCAAACCACATTTCCGACATCTAAAAACAGTGTTAAAGGTTCATGCTTAATGTTTGTGATCATTCTCTTCTCTTTGATTGTTAAAGCTATAGACATTCGGTGCTCGCGTACGGGAGGAGAGGGTGGGGGAGGTGGTGGTTTCAGGGAACCACCCCCCTACCCTTACCCAATTGCGAAAATGTATAGTTTAGTACTGAACGTTTATACTTCATAATACTTGACCAAATTGACATATTTGCGTTTCGTTATACGCAATATTTAGTGATATTTATTTTAATCGGAATTAATTCAAAACGCATTTCCGACATCCAAAAACACTGTAAAAGGTTCAAGTTTAACCCTGACAAGCCTCCTAAACTGAAAACATAATTAAAATCAAGTACCGGACGTCTATAGCCAACACTAACGATTTGTTGTTCTACCGTTGTAGGCTTAAAACAATATTATTTATACAACTAAATTATACAATTTACTTTATATCATAGTGCCTTCGGCTCCGGAGAAAATAAAGGCTCTCGCGTACTCCAGCGACTCTGTGCTCGTGAGCTGGCTGCCCCCTGTCCATCCCAATGGCATCATATCCCACTACACCGTGTACTACAGGGAAGCGGGACGGTGAGTAACTACACTTATTAAATTTGATAAGATCCCTTACCTTTTTTGAGGTTGTTATTTCAGAGAATTTTGTTGAGTGACGTAACTACTAAAACTATATCTATTTCCGACGCACACTGGCCTATATGCAGATTTATTAATCATACTTAGACCTATCCTTTCACTAGGATATCAGCTGATAATGTGATATTGATTATTCATCAACAAGAAGCCCTCACATAAGTGTCAGCAGGCAGTTTTTCGCAAACCAAAAAGAAAAGCTTTTGATAACAAGAGTAATTAAAAAAACCGACTACGTACACGGTTACTGAAAACAGTTAGACTGTTTACTGGAAACAGTTTACTAAAAATAGAAAATATTTATACTCTATGTCACTTCCACAACTAAGACGAATCTAACGAAATCCCATATGTTAAGATTCATCCAAGAAGCCGTTTAGGTTACAGAGCTTGACAAAGAAATAGACATAAATACCTATCTACTTCTGGGGAAATCTTATTATATAATGAAAATGGGTAAAAACTTTAGTGGCTTTGAACGTGGTAAAGCCACACTGCAGCTATATTATGGTAGCAACACGACCGGGGAAGAACCACGCTCTCAAAGAATACCAGCGTAAAATTTGTGTACTTATCAATCTGTCTCAGTCCACATGTGTGACAACGCATGTATATAGGGTATTACACCCATTTTTAAACAGTGTTTTAAATGAATCCTAGAGTGATAATGAACCACTATAACTTTTATATAAATTTTTTAAAACCGAACAGTGACATAAAAGTTACTTTTAATCTATCGTTTTTTTTCGCGTGAAAACGCTAGCCGCCATACTGTTCAACTCGTGACGTCACTGTCGTAGAATTTTGACAATTTTGCAAAGGAATAAGATACTTTTGAATGTTTAATAATGAGTTATCATTTATATCATTGTTGTGTTGTGCCTGAATGCAAAAATACGAGCATAAGAACACCGGGGAAGTTATGGATTAAAGTGACAACTGATTTAAATATGAGAAATACTTGGTTAAAACTGGCAAGAAGAGACCCGAAGGCATTGTCTACAAAATCTAAACTATACTTCTGTGAAGATCACTTTGATGTAAGTATGACTCATATTTAACTATCGATTAAACAAAACAAAACATTATGAAATGATAGGTACCTATTGCAAGTTAAATTTTGTAATAGATTAGGTTAATCGCTCGTCTGTCCCGCCCTTTGTGGCCGATTTTGACAGCCGTTGTAAGTGTAGTGCAGTGTTTTACTTAATTCCTGTTTTCTTCTATTATATGGGAATATAAGACATGGTTTGTACTCAGACCAAATAAAAAAGTGACGTTTTATTTCGTCTGAGGGTTTGTACAAAAAAATATAACAAAAAGTTTTTCTCACCTAAGTTTATATTATAATATCTATAACATTAGTGCTAAAAGCGAAGTAATAAACTCGCTTTTACGAATCCGTCTTCCATGATGCCTTTTCAATAAAATTCGGAATAAAAGTCAACAATCATAATGATAACTTGAAAATTTTTGAAATTAGCTAGTTAGTACACAGCTCATAACCTAGTTCTTTGACCTAGTGACGTCACGAAGCTATTTAATATAGCGGACATCGGTTTGCAGATTTGAGGCACAGGTAAAAAAAATATTCTTGAAATTGAATTATAAAATTTATAATGCATTTTTATAAATAGAAATCAATGTTTCTCGTTTACTTTTTATAAAATCTATCATAAATATATATTCTTTGATTTTTTTTACATGGTGTAAAATACCCTATTGTGATACTTTATCGAGGACAGTTATCTCTTTTTATAGAATAAGGTTAAAAATCGTGCACACAGTCCACCTAATGGTAAGTGGATGGTTTGGTCCATAGACATCTACATATATCCTCGATTAAGAGTCAAAAAGCAGATGCGTCGTCACCCCTGAGGACTAAAATGGAATGCCTCGTTTCCAGTAAAAACCTTCAATCACCATACTAAACACAGCAGTATTAAACTGCTATTTCACGCTGGTATTCTGAGCGTGGTCCTACCCTGGTCGAGCCGACCCTTGCGTGCTACAACCATAATATAGCTGCAGCGTGACTCTACCACATATATTCTGATTGTAAATGGCTACTTCTGCCCATGAACACATGCAACGCTTTTCAAAAAGGGGTCGTGTGTGTGTGGCTGTGTGTGTGTGTGTGTGTGTGTGTGTGTGTGTGTGTGTGTGTGTGTGTGTGTGTGTGTGTGTGTGTGTGTGTGTGTGTGTGTGTGTGTGTGTGTGTGTGTGTGTGTGTGTGTGTGTGTGTGTGTGTGTGTGTGTGTGTGTGTGAGTGAGTGTGTGATATATATATATATTGCAAGTGGTAGAGCCATGCTGCAGCTATATTAGTAGTATAGTTGTAGCACGAATGGTTCGGCTCGACCGGGGAAGGACCACGCTCTCGCAGAATACCAGCGTCAATATCAGCGTCGTCAGCGTCGAGGATAAATTTAGATGTGTATGGGCCACAGCAACCACTCACCATCAGGTGGACTGTGTGCTCGTTTGTCACCCTAGGATACTGCGTAAACCGACTGATTTTACTGAGCGTTACTTCCGTCCCAAAAGATCTATGTTACCCTCAAGTCAAGGGTCAAGCAGTTCTACTTCAATCATGAAATCAATTACCTTCCAGGTTAGGAAAACACTCAAGCTTCACAGTCTCGGCGGATAAGAACCCTGAAGTGGAGCTGATGTTCCAAGTGCGCAACCTCATGGAGAACCAGTTGTACGAGTTCTGGGTGTCGGCAACCACCGGTTCCGGTGAAGGCGAATCCACGCACGTGGTCGGACAAGGACCTAGTTCACGAAGTAAGATATTCTTGAGTTATAAACCAAAATTAGGAATGATTGATCTGATGCAGGATTTTGTTTTAGATGTCTCAGTGGTGAGTAGCTAGAGCTACCCAAATTTAAATATAAAAAATTTCAATCCTGCTATCTATAGCTATATATTTCATTATAGGAGGTAACAAATCTTCGATCATTAAAGAGGTTAAAATTAATAAGCTAATATCCACGTGAAAAATATAATTAATGTGTTTTTTAGAGTTCGTTGCGTGTAATGTAAATAACAATTAGTCAGTATTTATTGTAATTTGCATTGTATGTAGTTCAAATAGTGATGGTATCCGAACTACGCGAACATTCGTAGCGCAATTGGTAAACCTATTACGTCATCACTAAACGCAACAATCACTAAAAACTTTCAATAAAACAACACTAAAAAAATACCGCAGCGTTCAGCCATTTTAGAGTAAATTTCTTCTGATATTGCCTAGTTTAGAGCCGAAACACGTGTTGTATGTGCATGTTTACCGACGGTCTTGGCCGGCTTTTTATTGGACTGATTTTACTTTGACGTTTACCTGGCTATAAATTGGACTTCGATTGCTTAACGATTAGTAAACAAGAACAACAGTCTTGTTTTACAATGTCAAAACGAGGAAAAACGCTAAACAATCTCACGAACCATTGGTGAAAGTGTACAATTATTTTGAACGTGAATCAGTTAATGATGCGCCTCTTTTACCATTGACACAACTGAGAGAACGTGTTGCCGAAGCATTGGCAATAGGGAAGAGAACAGTCACTCAAATCTCAAAGAGTAATATGGTCCATCAGGCTCAGAAGATAATACTTTACGTACACCGAAAAAAAGAAAGAGGGACAAGAAAATTGTTGGCGTTGATAATTTTGATGCTGCTGCAGTTCGCAACCACATTTATGGATATTATTCGAGAAAAGAATATTCTACACTGAAAAAGCTATTGGGTTCGTCACAAGAGGCAAGCTTAGTTTTTGGCGGTAAATCGTCTTTAGTTAAGGTTTTAAAATCGATTGGCTGTAGTTTTAAAAAATCTAACTAGCGGAAAATCCTGCTGGCATGCTACGATATTATTTTGAAGAGAGTAACATTCTTAGGTCAAGTAAATAAAATTAAAGTTTGGGACAATATCGTGTTTATTGACGAAACATGGTTTAATGCAAACCATACGGATTTGCGGTCATGGACCGATGATACAGCGGCCTCCACCTCAAAAGTTCTATCGGGAAAAGGAGCCCGCCTTATTTTATGCCATGCGGACTCAGCTTCTCAAGATTTTATACCAGACTGCCTCCTCGCATTCGCGTCTAAAACTAAAAGTGATTACCATGAGGAAATGAACTTTGAGGTTTTTAAAGAGTGGTTTGAGAAGCTGCTAGTCAGCTTAGAAACCGCATCGAAAATTATTATGGACAATGCATCGTATCATTCTGTACAAGTTGATAAACCACCATCTCAAGCAAATAAAAAGCAAGAAATTATCTCGTGGCTGGTAAGACATGGTGTGGAAGCAAGTCCAACTTTATCGAAAGTTGAGTTGTTAAATCTGGTAAATGAAAGTAAGCCGTCCAAGCCCCGCTATGTAATCGATGAACTAGCCCTACAGCATAGACACGAAGTTATTCGATTGCCTCCCAACCATTGCCAGTATAACGCTATTGATCTTATTTGGGCACAAATAAACGGTCATGCATCGCGGAACAATACTGAACCACCCTTCAGTACTGTTAAAATGCTGACTCTGCTACAAACTGCCTGTACCGAAGTCACTACAGAAGAATGGAAATAGGTCGTGGAGAAAACAAAGGAAATAATTTTACAAGATTTTGAACGGGATGTGAATATAGACAATACTATTGAAAATGAATTAATAATATCTCTGAAATGCTATTTTTTGTTAAATTATGTACTTGTCTTATTTTTATCCTTAAATTTACGATAGAAAATAATGATGGGACAGGGATTCGACTGCTATTCTTTTTATAAAATTACAGCATCTATTCAGTTATTATGAAAAAGTACTTATAGATACTGTAATTTTACCCACATATGTTTGAAGTCCGTATCGATTCATTCACTTTAGTCGATGTTTTTAAGTCACCTCACTATAAAGTTAAAACTGAAAAATGTCAAATGTGATCTATTAAATTGGCCCTACTATAATATAAACAAGATTGTTATAACGCCATCTACCGCAAGCCTTAAGAATTTCCTGGCATATCCTTTAGTTTCTCCTTACAACACCCACGAAATGTGGTGATGGATTCTCTTAGGCCGTCATCATAAGCATTCATATAATATAGTGTGTATTGGTTACATATTAACATAAAAAAAAATATTTCAGCGTTTTATGTACTCTTACTAGTTGGTAGGACTCTTTATTGTTTAGGGGCTATCTGGATATGTTTCTATTTCTGTTCTGTTGCTAAGTAATAGTGCGTACATTGCTGTGTTCTAAACCGAAAGCTAAAGAGAGAAAGTGTAAATAAAAAATAGGCTGCGAGGCTTTTCATCTTACTACTGGAGATGACAATTCATCTGTAGCTTTCTTTATTTGAAGTCAGGTTTAGAAGTCAAACAATTGCAGTGGCCACTCACCATCAGGTGGACTAAGTTTGTATGTCATTTCAATTTTATATAATGATTTTGGCTGAAGGCCTTGTAGCCAATTTTATTCATTATTTATATTTTATAACGCGGATATTTGCGAAGTAAATTTTTCTAAAAGCTTTTATATAATGGATTTCCGCAAAGTAACGCCTGATTCTATTAATTACATTATTTATTCATTCATTACAGCCTATCAAAGTCCGTTGTTGAGAATAATATAGTGGATAGAGGAATGAAATATTTTAATATAAGTTAGGCCGGCCACATACATACGGAATTCCGTTTCTTTACTTTTTTTACGTTTACGTGTGTATGGTAATTCTCCGTACGGAATTTTCTCCGATTCGAGATTCCTTATTACCGCCTGTGCGTTCGGAATCCAGAAGTGAAATATGGAAACGGAATCACAAAACGGAATTCCGTATGTATGTGGCCGGCTTTAGGGACTATTAAAACAATCGGCTATAGTGTAGGCATATTATGTTTGCCCGTAGATTGGCTCCTAAGGCCGGCCACATACATACGGAATTCCGTTTCGGGTTTCCGTTTCGATATTCCAATTCGGGATTCCGAACGCAGCAAGTCCATATAAAATAAAGGACCCGCCACACACGTACGGTAATTTTCCGTACGGAATATTCTCCGATTCGAGATTACGTACGACCGCCCGTGCGTTCGGAATCCCGAACGCAAAAAAAGCCGCTCCGAACGCAAGTCTTTCATAGATTTTATATGAGTTGCAACACACGTTCGTAAATTCCGTACGGAACGTGCTCAGTGTTCGTCGCACGACCGAAGCGCGTAGATGTCTTTATGTATGTTTTTTACATTTAATCTAATGTGTGTTTTTTTATTATCATAGTTTTTAATATTGTAGATAAAATTAAGTATTATGTAGAATTTTATACTATCTTAATAAATATTTTAATTACATCTAATATGTGTATAGCTTATCGTAACCTTTCATCTTATTTAATTTAATAATTCGTCGAAAAAGTTTACAGACATCCATCTTTAAAAAATATCTCTGGATAGATAGATCTTTTTATATATTATTGACTATTTTGCAAGCTTAGAGTAATAAAGGGATGCACCTAGTAAGAATGATACAGCAACAATGGAATGTCTAGACTCAATGGCTAACGTCTCTCAACTGACCCTTGCTACTCCGAACGGAAATAAACGTATGTGTGTGAAGCATTAACGGATTCCCGAATCGGAATATCGAAACGAAAGCCCGAAATGGAATCCTGTGTATATGTGGCCGGCCTAAGAGAGATATTTGCTAAAGTTGTCACGCCTGACAGGCTTTCGAATTCGGCTCTTAGTTTGTTTCCTTCAGTCGCCTCTTACGACACCCACGGAACAATATAGTGGGCCATACGGTTGTCAATGTAGTAATAAATGAAAATGTGAGTGTAACCAATTATATCGATAGATAGTAATGTTTTTGACAGCTACCCTGTATTGATTGAGTCTGTGAATGAATGAACGTTTACGATTTCGATGTTCTTAAATAAACCCTTTTCGTATACCTGGCATAGCCAGAATATTGTCTGTTATATGTTTATATATGTGAATGATATATCATTCTCGTTATTTATTAGTTATTTAGATATGTATATCAAAAAAATGTATATTATGTTCGTAGTTCGTAGACTTCGTAGATATAACAGTAAGTGTTTGTGTAGTACCTGCGCGAATCGCATCATTTGGCGGCTTGCGCGCGGTTCGTGCGGGACGTGCCGTGCTGCTGGCATGCGCCTGTGTAGGCGCACCCACACCGCGCTCACGCTGGGCGCACGCGCGCGCTCCTGTAACGCACCACGCGTATTACCAAGTCACGCGCGCCGGACACCTGCACATACGCGGTGAGACACACTCTCTCACACCTCGCACTAGTCGTGCGTCACGCACCACGCGTACTAACAGGTCACGCGCGCCGGACACCTGCACATACGCGGTGAGACACACTCCCTCACACCTCGCACTAGTCGTCGCGCACCACGCGTACTACCAGGTTACGCGCGCCGGACACCTGCACATACGCGGTGAGACACACTCTCACACCTCGCACTAGTCGTGCGTCACGCATCACGCGTACTACCAGGTTACGCGCGCCGGACACCTGCACATACGCGGTGAGTGGTTTTTAAAATATAAAGTATCTAAATGAAATTATAAATCAACCACTGCCCCACTAAACCACGCCATTGCCCCGCATTTTTTCTAGGCCCCTTAACGGCCCTCTTTAAGTCTCCAACGCCCGCAAGGGGACTTTATCGCTCACTTTGAGAAAGACTGTGCTAACGTATAAAAGCAACATAATGCTGCTATATTTCGTATGGCGAATAAAAAAACTAAGCATTCCATTCTATCTATGGTTCTCGAAGTAGTCTGTGTTCTGATTTTGAATGGAGAATACAAAATACAAACTAAAAACGAAATAAAAAGATAACATATTAAATCAGTCAATTTCTCAGCTACAACAGAATTGCTTAAGTTTTTGTACTGATTGCAGAGGTGAATGAACAATCGTCTGGCAACTTCACGTGCACGGCCAGCAACAGCATTGGCGAAGATTCGATAGTGTACGTGGTGATCGCGATCACTCCCCCCGCCGCGCCCACGCTTTCCCTGCAGTACACCACCACCAGCAGTATCAAGCTGCACTGGCGACTGCCCAATGACAACTCCGAGCCTGTACTTGGTATATAGCATTCTCATCTTCTAAACTTTCGATTTTTTTCAACATATTAATGTTTTTTTATTCATTCCTAATACATTAATGTATTTTAGTAGTTTGAATAACAAACTGTAAATAATATCTGACTCTATGATAATCTCATTTCTTCGTCACGTCGAGATTTCTGGGAATCACAGTATAGCATATAAATGAAATTGAAGTGTGTCTGTAATATTAAAATAACTGGCCTCTATTAAACTTATTTGCATACCATTAAGACATAATTTTTTTTAAGTTTTTGTCTGTCTTTCTTTCGGGCTAATCTTCAAATTGGCTAAATTGATTGTAAAGACACTTTACGAACAGATAAAGTGTAAGGCCAGGAGGGATCTAGCCTATATTTTATTATACAAAACCTATTTTTTGTTTTTAATTCAGAATTTAATAGTAAATATATAATATAATATAAATGGCCTTTGATTATTTTAAATTTAAATAACGCCATATTAATAGATTCTATCCAGGCGAAGCCGGGGCGGGTCGCTTGTCGTCAATGAAAGTAAATTCTGATACTTTTTAACGCCAGGTTACCTCCTGCATTTCAAACAAGCATCAGAAACAGAGTGGCAAAGCGTTGAACTGTCGCCCGAACTGAACTCTTACACAATGGACATGTTGAAGTGCGGAACCACGTACAACGCAAAGATCCAAGCTCAAAACAAAATCTCCTTGGGACCGCCCAGTGAAATCCTTACAGCTACGACAAGGGGAGGCCGTAAGTAGCAATACTTTTAATTTTACGGATTTTATCGCTCTTAACTCTAACTTTTTAATTTCCGAAGTTTCAAGCGCTTTGCTGTTCTTATGGTAACGATGAGCAGGGGGGTGGGGGCCTGCGGTTTTTGACGTCCTAATATCATACTTAACGAAGGCTACCTCGTTTTATTACGATCTACGCAGAAAGAGCTTACAGTATCTTGATGCAGTTGTGTGCTTGCGTTTGGATTCAATTTTATTAGTTATGAGATCCCAAGCAGATGGTAGCACCCAGCCGTCTTCTTCTATTGAAATTGGAATATTTTTTAATTTTCTCGCGAATCATCATTGGTAGGAATCAGTGTACTTCTGCGAGAATTTGGGGTCAGTCATATCTGATATAATGGGTACTAAAGACTTCCCAAAGCATCGGTGCTTCACATCAGCTATAAGTTCTTTCACGCGGGTTTTATTGATCTTTTTGTTTGTCATATGTATGTAAGAAAGACAACCTTTACAATCAAGCTTATACACTCCTGCATTTCGTAGAAAAATATGACACTGGAGGGATGATAAGCATTGACTAAACTTCTTCGTCGGCTTGAAGTATATTCTTATAGAAGTCTGCTACAAGATATAGCCAATCTTGTTTTTGTTTTCTGGGACATATTGTAGAATAGCAGACACACGCTTGACTTTGACCGGCTTCACTCGGTCACTATGACGTAGGCGCACTACGGACCGTAGACCCGAAGATTGTTGTCGTGCAAGACTTTCTTGACCTGCTGTAGCTCGGTGACCAGATGTTTACTTTCACAGATCCCTTATGCTCTCTGAAACAAAGACTTTCCCGCAGTAGCTTCACGATGGTGATGATATTCACCGTTTAAGCATCAGTAAAGAAAAAAGACACATAGGAACCAATATTTTAAATCCAATTTGGGGGACTCTATGAGAGAGGCCTATGTTGACCAGAGGACTTTTATAGGCTCTAATGGATAATTAATCTATTAAAAAATATTATTATGATCTAAAACCATTACCAATCTTTAGGTCCAAAACCACCAAAGCCGGAGGAGCACGTCCACATGAATTCAACAGCGATCAAAATCAATTTCTACGCGTGGCGCGACGGCGGGTGTCCCATACTCGGCTTTCGTGTCGAATACAGACGCGTTGGCGAGGAACATTGGATCAAGGTACGTTCTTCATATCAATTAAGATGCAATGAAATAAAATTTTTTACTTCTCACTATAACCATAGCCCATCGCAACGCCACTGCTGAACACCATAAATTGACACAAATGACATAAAACATTGTTTAATCAGATCATCGCTCCATCTTCATTTTATACCTAACTAGCTGTTCCCCGCGACTTCGCCCACGTGTAGTTTAGGGTTTTAATTTTTTTTCGAGGAACTCTAATTATTTTTCTGTAATAAAAGTAGCCTAAGTTACTCCTTATGACATTAGCTATCTGCCAGTGAAAGTCCCGTCAAAATCGCTCCAGCCGTTTCGGAGATTAGCCGGAAAAAACAGATAGACAGACAAAAATTAAAAAAAGTGTATTTTTGTTATAAGTACTGTTTATACTTTCATATGCATTTTAGTAAAACGCTGTAATTTTGACATTACAAACAGACACTTCAATTTTATTTATTTGTATAGATTGATTATGAAATCTGTACAATTTTTAAACAATAGTTATTGTTCAAATAAACCTGCAAATTGGCTTTTTTTCGATGTTCTGATAGGCTGCTAGACGTAAAGTAGGAAAATTTAAATATTTGTATTAAAATAGTAATTTATGTAATACTAACAATCCGCCCCGGCTTCGCACGGGTGATTTCTGATCTCTGGATACCTGGTCCAATTGTGAATCTAAGCCTTCCATCGACCCAATCACACACAAAAAAATAGCAAAATTGGTCCAGCCGTTTAGTAGTTCAGTGACAAACACACGTACAAAGGAATTAAAGCTGGAGATAAGATCCTGTTTTCTGCAGTAGGCTAGGCTTAATTATTATCGTAGTTTTAGGTTTAATTAATTTAACGTTTAATGGCCAAACATATAGCTCGAAGAATCGGAAACCGTTGGGGAAGAAATATTCTCGAGTGGCAGCCTCGTAGGCGAAATGTGGGTTCAGGTGGCTTAGGACCGTGCTTGTGGCATTTTTTGGGGGAGGCCTATGTTCATCAATGGACTTGTGAAGAGCTGTAATGATGATGATGATGAATGTAACGTTACTTAATAATCACAAATATAATCATCTATGTTCAAAGTTACCCCGTGTAATGGCGGACCCCGTGTAGTGGCGGGTAAGAATACTCACTACCCTATATCTTCCCGTGGGTGTCGTAAAAGGCGACAGAAGGAACCTGAGACAGAAGATGGGCAGCAGTATCTTTCTGATAACAGCAAAACAACAATAAAAAAACTGCAGTTGCAAACCCGCTCGCCAAGCGTGGCAGCTATGGCAATATACCCCCCATGAAAGTAACGAAGAGACGGCCCCCAGTCCCCGGCGGCCACGCTATTCCTGGCTACGGTGGCGACCATGGTAACGGCGGGGCAGGAGGTGCTAAGAATCTCCGGTGGAGGTTCGGTTACCACCTACGACGACTCGAACTGGCAACTTATAACGCACGCACCCTGAGGACTAACGAGAAGTTCCTGGAGCTGGAAGAAGAGATGAACAAGTTGCGCTGGAATATCATAGGATTATCCGAAGTCCGAAGAGAGGGGGAGGACGCGGTAATCCTCGAATCCGGCAATTTGTTCTATCACCGGGAGGGCGACCATCTGTCCCAAAGAGGTGTCGGATTTATCGTCCACAAGTCTCTCGTTCACAACGTTGTAAAGATTGGGAGTGTGTCGACGAGGGTTGCGTACCTTATACTCAAAATCACCAAACGGTATTCGCTGAAGGTCATACAGGTTTACGCACCAACCTCGGCACACCCCGATGAGGAGGTGGATGAAATGTATGATGATATCTCTAGAGCCATGCATTCCTCCAAAACTCACTATACGGTGTTAATGGGAGACTTCAACGCAAAACTAGGCAAAAGAGAAAACGGTGAGCTGAGAGTAGGGAATTTCGGATTAGGGCAACGGAACCCAAGGGGCCAGCAGCTGACCGACTTCATGGAGAAAGAAGGACTCTTTATGATGAACTCTTTCTTCCAGAAGCGGCCGCACAGGAAGTGGACCTGGTCGAGCCCCGACCGTTCGACAAAAAATGAGATTGATTTCATTATGACGACTAGACGACAACTGGTCAGTGATCGCGAGGGTGAAAAACGGCAGCAATCACCGAAGGGTGAGAGGCACATTGAACCTAAACGTTAAATTGCAGAGGTCACGTCTAATGAAGTCAACGCTCCGTCCCCCTCGTGCTCTATCCAAAGTCCCGAAACCTTTCAGCTCGAGCTACAAAACCGTTTTCAGTGCCTAGAAGATTGCAATGCAGTGGACGATATGAATGACAAGCTCGTGGAGACTGTCCATGCGGTCGGAGCTAAGTTATGCAAGACCCGCCGCAGAAGAACACAAAAACTCTTCGATCACACTCTTAATCTCATGGCTGTTGGATGGGATATGAAACTGCAGTCTTCAGTAGATTTGACAGCATACAGGCAACTGAACAGACAGATCTCTAAATGCATGGGACGGGACTTACGCAACTTTAATACTGCTCGTATTGAAGAAGCGATCAAGCGGAATCAGGGCTCCAAAGTCTTTGCTAGAGATCTGTCTGCCAGAAAGAGCCAACTTTCGAAGCTAAAGACCGAGTGTGGTAGCGTCATTTCCGGAACACCTTAGATTTTAAGTGAGATTGAGAGGTACTATGGGCAGCTGTACACATCATCGTTGGAGCTACACGCTAGTGTGAGTAACGATCCAAGAGCGAGTCTTATCCGACACTATTCCGAAGATATCCCGGACGTCAGTCTGAGCGAGATTAGAATGGCTCTCCAGTACCTTAAAAACGGCAAGACCCCAGGCGAGGATGGAATTACAGCGGAGCTTCTGAAAGCGGGTGGAAAACCTGTACTTGAAGTCCTTCAGAAGCTCTTTCATTCCGTCCTCCATGGTGGCACTACACTGGAGGCGTGGAGCAGAAGTGCGGTGATCTTATTCTTCAAGAAAGGTGACAACGCTCTCTTGAAGAACTACAGACCAATTCCCCTTCTGAGCCGCGTCTACGTGCTGTTTTCGAGAGTCATTACGAATCGTCTCGAGCGCAGACTTGACGACTTCCAGCCTCCCGAACAAGGTGGTTTCCGAAAAGGCTTTAGCACCATAGACCACATACATACCCTTCGGCAAATTGTACAGAAGTCCAAGGAATACAATTTTCCACTATGTCTGGCGTATGTGGACTATGAGAAAGCCTTTGATTCCGTCGAAATTTGGGCGGTGCTGCAGTCCCTTCAGCGATTCCAAGTTTACTGTCGGTATATCAAAGTGCTGAAGTGCTTGTACAGTAGGGCTACGATGGCTATCCGAGTACAGAACCAGAGTACGAAACCTATCCTATTGCAGAGAGGTGTAAGACAGGGTGATGTTATATCCCCGAAACTCTTCACCGCTGCATTGGAACACGTTTTCAAGCGTCAGGACTGGAAAGGATACGGTATTAACATCAATGGCGAGTACACCACTCACCTTCGATTTGCCGACGATATATTCCTTATGGCAGAATCGATGGAGGACCTAAGCACTATGCTCAATGACCGCAATAGTGCTCAATAGTGTTTCCCAATGGATAGGTCTTAAGATGAACATGGACAAAACAAAGATCATGTTTAATGTCCATGTCACACCTATGCCGGTAGTTGTTGGGAGCACTAAGCTCGAAGTTGTTGACGAGTATGTGTCATCATCATCATTACAGCCCTTCACAAGTCCACTGCTGAACATAGGCCTCCCCCAAAGAATGCCACAAAGCACGGTCCTGAGCCACCTGCATCCATCGACTTCCTGCATGTCTTACCAGGTCGTCACTCCATCTCGTGGGGGGACGCCCTACACTTCGCCTACCGGTACGAGGCTGCCACTCGAGAACCTTTCTTCCCCATCGGTTGTCGGTTCTTCGAGCTATATGGCCGGCCCACTGCCACTTTAGCTTACTAATCCGTTGGGCTATGTCGGTTACTCTGGTTCTACTGCGGATATCCTCATTCCTAAGTTTATCACGCAGAGAAACTCCGAGCATAGCCCTCTCCATAGCTCGCTGAGCGAACTTGAGCTTCCTCATACGGCCAGCAGTGAAGGACCACGTCTCAGTTCCATAAGTCATCCATGGCAACACGCACTGGGTGTACAGTCTCGTTTTCAGGTTTTGAGGTATGTCTGACGAGAAGATGTGTCGTAATTTCCCGAACGCTGCCCAACCGAGTTGAATCCGTCGATTGACCTCTCGGTCGAAGTTGGACTATTTGTCCCAGGTAAACCTGTTTACCTGGGACAAATAGAACCGACAGCCGATGGGGAAAAAAGGTTCTCGAGTGGCGGCCTCGTACCGGCGGACGAAGTGTAGGGCGTCACCCCACTAAATGGAGTGACGACCTGGTAAAATATGCAGGAGGTCGATGGATGCAGGTGGCTCAGGACCGTGCTTTGTGGCATTCTTTGGAGGAGGCCTATGTTCAGCAGTGGACTTGTGAAGGTCTGTAATGATGATGATGATGATGATGTTCAAAGTTTGTCAATAAACAAGTATAAAAGTTTTATTAAACAATAATTGTACAGAAAGGGATGTAATGCTGGTTCTATAAAAAATCTTATAAAGTATTGTACAAAATTATTATAAAGTTGCTGCGGTTGTCACCACCATGCTAGTTCCTGCTCATACAAAGGTATACTTTTTTGTTTTGCTTCTTCTTTCGTTCATGTATTGTTTTGGTGTACAATAAAGAGTTATTTATCTACTTTAACGCTTTTTTTGTGAACAGGTGGGTGAAGCATTGAGCGCAGCGAACCACGTCATAGGCTCGTTGTCGTCGGGCACGTGGTACGAACTGATGATCGAGGCGCGGAGTGACGCCGGGCCTGAACGCGTTATTCTGCTTGCAGATACCCATACTCTTGCGGGGGGTAAGCGTATATGAAAAGTTGACGTATTACTTATGATCTCGGTTCTCTACACTTACCATACGAAACACAGCAGCATGGCTCTAGCATTTAATAGAACATTGTAAACGTAGGTCGCGTGGCGCGGCCTGCGGCCGGGCCGCCGGCGGCGAGCGGCGCGCGCTCGTCGCTGCGCGCGGTGCTGGTGTGGTGCGCGGCCAGCGCGCTCGTCGTGGCCGCCGCGCTCGCCGCCGTGCTGTGTCTGCTGCACGGCAAGCGCAAGTGAGCACTTACCTTACTTAATAAATAATTACGAGTAATGTACTTATTGATTTCTGACTAGCGGCCCGCCCCGACATTGTCAGTTATAACATAAAACATTAACATTCACACCTATGTTTAAAGACCGGCAACGCATCTGCAATTCCCCTGGTTCCCCTAGTGTCGCAGTTGTTCATGGGCGGCGGTAGTCACTTACCATCAGGTAAACCGCATGCTCGTTTGCCCCCTCTCCTATAAAAAAAACCTGTCATCCAGAGAGGTAGGCAGAGACTACGGACTTCCATTTAGCACAATCCCGACACACCTCTCTCGCCTCCTTTACATCCATATACCTTCGTATACATGGTTCGTTGGTTCAATATATCTCCAATTTGTTCGATAAACTTTGGTCTAAGACGTTCCTTCCCGACTTTACCGTCCACTTCCCCAGCCATAATATAAATATGATGATGATACACACATTGATTTAGATACACATGAACATAGCAATAACATACCTTTCAAACAGTGAAAGAATTTTTCAAATAGGTGCAGCGGTTCCAAAGCACAAAAGCTTCTCCATTTCCATACAATAAACGTAAATTTAATAGAGATGTCACAAATATTAGGTCCTTACATAATTATGAAATTGGCGTTTTGTACGGGAGGAATATAAAGTAATTTTTTTTGTAAAATATATTTAATTAATAATGAGGAAGCTCAAGGTCGCTCAGCGAGCTATGGAGAGGGCTATGCTCGGAGTTTCTCTGCGTGATAAACTTAGGAATGAGGATATCCGCAGTAGAACCAGAGTAACCGACATAGCCCAACGGATTAGTAAGCTGAAGTGGCAGTGGGCCGGCCATATAGCTCGAAGAACCGACAACCGATGGGGAAGAAAGGTTCTCGAGTGGCAGCCTCGTACCGGTAGGCGAAGTGTAGGGCGTCCCCCCACGAGATGGAGTGACGACCTGGTAAGACATGCAGGAAGTCGATGGATGCAGGTGGCTCAGGACCGTGCTTTGTGGCATTCTTTGGGGAAGGCCTATGTTCAGCAGTGGACTTGTGAAGGGCTGTAATGATAATGATGATTTAATTAATCAAAGTATGCACCGTTGTTATCTATGCACTTTTGTAATCTCATAGGTAGTTCATTGATCCCTTTACTAAAAAAAACCGGCCAAGTGCAAGTTTAAAATTGTTATAACAATTTTTAATAGATGATGTAACTAAAAACTTATGCTTTTCACAATTTTTCCTTTATCTGTGCTATAAATACGTTGCTTCGTACCAAATTTTAAGATTCTGAGTTCACGGGAAGTACCCTGTAGGTTTTGATTCCCTTGCGAGGGTCGAAGATTTGCGGCATAAACGGCTATATCTTTTGATTGCGTCGGCTTAGCAGTTTGATTTTTTCATAGCTTCAAGAGACAGTAGACTTGACTATTTGATATGAATTTCAGCTTGATACCTCCACGCGTCCCTGAGAAAAAGGGTCTTGACAGACAGACAGACGGACAACAAAGTGATTCTATAAGGTTCCGTTATTTTCCTTTTGAGGTACTGAACGCTAAAAAAACATGGGGGCGAGAATCAATAAACTCTTTGAAGGCGGTGTGGACTGCCGCATCGGAGTTGAATTTTTTTCCTTGTAAGAAATTGTCCAAATTCCGGAAAAATGGTAATCTGTTGGAGCAAGGTCCGGGGGGTACGGTGTATGTCATAGACATTCCGATTGTAGCTCATCTAACTTAGTAGTGGTTCTTTGTTGTGCAGTGTGTGGTCTTGCGTTGTCGTGAAGCAGCAGTGGCCTAGAGCGATTGACCAATCTCGGTTGTTTAGCAGCTAGCTCTTCGTTCATGGTTTGCAGTTGCTGACAATACGAGTAGATATAATCGTTTGGAGTAATCGTTGGCCAGATTTTAAAAAGCTGTAGCGAACGACACCGGCGCTAGTCCACCAAACACTCACAAGTAAATTTTTTGAGTCAATTTTCGTTTAGGGCAGGATTTGGTTGGGTCTCCAGGGTTTGCGACGAGCGCTTCCGATTTTCGTACAGTATCCACTTTTCATCACAAGTAATGACTTGATTTAAAATCCCGTCATTATTGTGTCGGTTGAGCAAAGTAACACAGCAGTCGACGCGTGTTTGTAAGTTCGATTCACTCAATTCATGAGGTACCTATCGTTCAAGTTTTTTTACTTTCCCGATTTACTTCAAGTGGATTAATACAGTTTATTCACTTACCTTCGGGGTCTGCAGTTATCTCTGAAGTGCTTTGTGATGGATCCGCTTCCACAATAGCCTTTAATTCTTCATTTTCCACTTTGGTCACCGGCCGTCCATGGGGTTGGTTCTGAAGGTCGAAATTTCCAGAACGAAAACGTTGAAATCAAAAACGTACCGTGCTTTCTTTTGCGACACCAGCGTCGTAAACATTATTAAACCTTCGAGCTGTTTCTGCAGCACTGGTGCCACGGTAGAACTCGTACTCGTAAATATACCGATATTTCATGTGTTCCATTGTGAGTTAATAAGCGACGCCAAAGGAAAAAATAATGAGCAAAAAACAAATGAATGACTGTTTTCAAACTCAAATGTACCAGCTAAATTAATTTATAAATTTGAATTTGGATTTCCTAAACATAATAATCTCCTATTTCAGATCAAATTGGTCAGTACGACAAAACGCTAATTTCATATGTAAGGACCTAATATTAAATATTGTAATGTACGACGTATATACGATAATGTTACTCTAGTTCCTAAACTACTCTTATAAGACACAAGACGCAGAAAAGGCATAAGCCTTTTTTGCGTCATCGGTCTGTAAGAAATCAAAGTTGAGCAGAAGCGAGGAAAGATTGCGGTAGATAACGCAATGAGCACGCCTATGCTCTCTTTTATCTTACTAGGTTTCACAGTTGCTACGTATGAGCGCTGGCCTGCTGTTCTATAAAGATAATTTAAACGTATTAATTTGTAGGTTCTTCTGCCTATCAAGCGACCACTACATGCGCGACGACCGAAAGTTAAGCGAAAGTAACGAGGCGGAGAGAGAGAAGCTCAGAGAAGGACAGAAATTGTATTCTTCTTCGTCCATAAATGGAAACGATAAGTCCAACGACGACTCCTCAGGTAAGACTACAAAATCATATCTAAATTCTAAAAGCAATGAAAATAATATAATTTTAAAAAATAATTTTATAATTAAATTTATTGCTTTTAAAGGTTTTAATAATTATTATTGTTACTTTGAACTTTACGTTATTAATTAATTCTGCTTTTGGAAAAATAAAATGGCTATTGACCGTAGTAGCTCTCGTACTCGTAACTTACAAGAAATGAAATAGAACAATAGATTCTAACTTAATTTTGATTCGTCAAAATATTAAATGATAGTTAATACCACGTAATAACTTACAAAAAATGAAATTTAACAATTAATTATGACACTTATGTTTCGTCAAATCATTATCCTCATCATCATTAAAGCCTTTTACAAGTCCACTGCGGAACATAGACCTCCCCCAAGGAATGCCACAAAGCACGGTCCTAAGCCTGCATCAATCGACTTTCTGCTCTATCTATTAAAATATTAAATACTACTTGAATTCTTAACTATATTGGTGTTCATACGTTTGACGGATTACGCAGCGGAACTGTACGAGATCAGTCCGTACGCGACGTTCGGCGCGCCGGCGGCGCACTCGCTGCAGTTCCGCACGCTGGCGCGCCGCGAGGACGACGCCGCGCCGCCGCACCGCCGCCGCCGCCGCTGCGACCACTACCGATACGGTGCCGACACACACAGACTTACCCACGCGAATGCACTGGCCCCCGACACAACACACTGACACACCGACACAACGTGACACCAACACGCCCGCACACCGACGCACCGACATACTGTCACACACACACACACACACACACACACACACACACACACACACACGCACACACACACACACACGCGCGCGTATTGGAATATATGGAACGCGTTTCGCGGAAAGCACTGGTCGGCGCGGTCATGCATGGCGCGCGCGCCAGTAGCGCGTAATCGATACGCGTTTTACGACTAACAAAACTGTAACAAAACCTAAAGCCGTGGGCCATGCGCCTAATCTCTCTCCGCTTATGCCGGACAACCATCCCATCGAACTATGACAGTGTGGGCACAATAATCCTGTTCTACATAGATGATCAGTCTCTTTTTTGTTATTTATAATTATTGTATCGCGCAGACGAGTCGAGCCTGTCGAAGCGGTCGACGGTGGAGGCGCGGCACCGCATGCGAGCGGCGCGCGCGGGGGGCACGGGCGGTGCGGGAGGCGCGGGGGGCGCGGGCGCGGCGCCGCCCTGGCGCGAGCGCTCCGACTCCGACGACTACAGCGACAGCGCCGCCAACACAACCACTAAAGGTACAGTTCCATAGCCAACTGCAAGCAGCAGCAGCAGGCGACGTGTCGCCACGACATGTCACTGCGACATGTCGTGGCTTCATGTCGCTGCAGTCATGATTCCGAACCCGACTGCAGGCGGCAGCAGCCCGTGTTCCAATCTGTTCCGAATGTTCTGTGGGTTCTCTGTTTATGTAAACAAAATAGGTACTTACCGCTTTTATTTAACTCCTTTTCCTATATTTTTTCAAATATTATCTTTTATCACACTGTTTAAATAATTATGATGAGATGCATCGTACAGTTAAGGTGATTTCATCAGTTATCCATTCTACTACCACCACAGAATAAATAATAGCTACTACTAACAAAGAAAGAAAGAAACATTTAGGTAGTTGAGAAACACACAACATTAAGAAACATGGATTTTTTTTTTAGAATAAGGGTAACAAACGAACAAACAGTTCACATGATGGATGATTGATGCTGTGGCCCATAAACATCTAAGTACATCTATCCTCAAATTAGAATCAAAATGCAGATGCATTGTCACCCCTAAGGACTAAGATGAAATGCCTCTTTTCCATTAAAAAAAAGTCGCCGGTTCTCCACACTTACCATACGAAAGACAGCAGAAGCATTAAGCTATTATTTTACGCTAATATTCCGTGAGAGCGTGATCCTTCACCAGTCGAGTCGACCCTTTCGTAATCCAGCCATAATATAGCTGCAGCATGACTCTACCACGTATAAATCGTAATACAAATTACCAACTGGTAATAACGCTGTTATGTGATATCAAAAAGGATCCCACCTCAGTGATGATTTCTGGGGTACCACAGCGCTAGTTTTCAGCTGAGACCTTAATTGACTCTCGAACAAACCTTGCACTTAAAGTAATAAAAAAAAATTATTTAAATAAATAATTACTACTTGTACTACTACCACTACTATTACAGCCACTGCTAAGCGTAGGCCTACCCCATAGATTACCACAAAGTATAGTCCATCAATTTACCTGTACGATTCATTAGATTATCACTCCATTTAGTAGGGAGTCAACATTGCGCTTGCTAGTACGAGACTGCTAGTTGAGACACTCGCGCATACACTCAGGCACTATAAATCCTGTTCTGCGCAGATTGCTATATTCAGTTGAGACTATCCGCCGTGGCTGAAATTGGGTTTGGAGGACATTAATTAATTATGTTGTGAATGTCTGCAATATGCTGGATGTGCCTTTAGCACGACAGTGCAATATGTATCATTAGCACAACGAAGCACTGTGCGTAGGTAAAAATACGTGAGTACTTGAATAATTTGTATAGTTTGACACATGGTCACTATAATTCTGCACTGCGCAGATGGCTAGCCTCCGTTGTGAGTGGCCACCGTTACCGAAATTCGGTCAGGATGACATTATTAATTATTAACATCTTTAGGCTAAGCTCATATGACCGCGGAACTACCGGCCGCGCGGTACAAGATCAAAGTAAATGGCGATTATCGTTTACATCACCGCGCGACAACGAGCGGTGCGCTCCGGCTCGCGCGCAAGTTTTTGAACTGCGAGTCACCGCGGGCTACGGCGAGGTTCAAGTTCTACGAACCTGTAACGACCTGGTCAGTTTATCCGCGCGAGCTGACATGGACAGACGTATAGATGCAGGAAAAATGATGCCAGACTGCCGCACGTACATATGCCGTCATGTAAAGTGACGTGCGGTCATATAAACTTAGCCTTAATGTAATAGATTTCCGCAAAGTATCGCATGATTCTATTACAATAATAATACTGAAATGAATGTGCGCCAGGGTCGGGCAGCGGCGGCGGCAGCGCGTACGGCAGCGGGCGGCGCACCGCCAGCAGGTAGACCAGGTACCTTGTCCCGCCCGCGCACACGCACACACCCACGCACTGGCACACGCACACCGCTACAAACCCTATAATAATATCCCTAAAGTAGCTTCTATACAAGTTTTATTCCTGATAAGTTAAAGATTTAATAAATTTAGAAGAGCTGTTTTATTATTGGGAAATCAAGGAACCCACCTTTCGTTTCCAGAGCTACAGAAAGATTATTTAAAGAATTTTTGTAAGATATTTACCATAAATTATGTAAATTATATAAATGTACATAATTTATGGAAGGTTATTTTTTTCTTGCATTTTTAACTGACTTTAATGAAGATCTGAGCAATAGTTCTTGAGTTATCCCCAATAATGCATATTTAATTGACTTCGACAACATTGATGATCTTCTCATTTCATTTATATTGAAGTCGGTGGTGCTAGAATTTTAATTTTATCTCTTATTTAGAACCGCTATAAGGTTTGTTTTCAAGATTATCCATTCATTATCGGACATCCTGTGTATATTCGGCTTTTTTAGCTATTAGTGTTCCCTACTTTTTGTCTCTGGTTAGGGATAACTGTGGAATGATTTTAACACTTAAGACTTAAAACATCTACTTTTATTTATATAAGTTCACAGTGCACAGTTCACTTAACTACAGGTGAATGCATTATAAAACTACAGGTGAAATACATTTGCGTCTATAGACGCAAAAAATAGATGCGTTGTCCTCTGAGGACACCGCGTTACCAGTAAAAATGGTTCTCATCACATCACGCATTTTTTACGCTGGTAAAAAATGCGTGATGTGATTTCTGTGAGAGCGTGCATATGCCAAAGTCGAGCTCTACTATTTGTGTACTTATTCGTGCTGCAGTTATTTATAACTGTAACGTGACTATAACACGGAAAGAATCATAAAATTAAATCTACTTACATCATAAAAGTGGTATAGAAGCTACTTTTAGTAATTTTCAATTCAATAATTATTATAATAACGCTTTACTTATAAAATGCAAATATGAACACTTTTCATTTTAAATGAAATTAATTACCTATGGTCACGGGGGCTCCCCCCGCGACCATAGGTGCTATAAAGCACACGAAACGTCGGGAATTAAAAAGTTAAATTAAACGTGATAAAATCCGTAAAAATTAATTTCATTTAATGTGTACTTTTCGTTTTAATATTTTATTTTATCTCTAAACGTCTTATGCAATTTTAACCACTACCCTCAATTGTCTTCTTTATATTTACAGTAGTATCTTTCTGTGTACTAAACTTACTTTTGTTCCCTTTTTAGATTCCTTCCTCAAGTAGCAACCCCTAATACATGGCTTATATGAACCACGTCCACAACGCCTCAAGTAACTGCATGGATTCCGTATAGAATAATAATTGCTTTAGTGTTGTCTGTCCGGCAGCGGAGGGCAGAATGGGAGCGACGGCCTCTCGGGAAGCTTCGCTCCTGTTCCCCCCGATATATCTTCTTTAATAGACAAGTAAGTACCCTGTATTTAAATTATGTAACAACTTATTTACTATTCTTACTGGAACATGGTGCACCATGTTGACTACAGGGTTAGATTAAGCAATATAGAGGTACCTAGGCAATTTCAGTATTGGGCTACTCTCTATTTTTCCAACTTATATAGTGAGTATTGTACGAGGCGACGGAGGGAAACTGAAACAGAAAATGGGCAGGAGCATCTTCCTGATAACTTGCCTGCCAAGCGTAGCCATGACAAAATCCATATGAAGCAATCTATGTGGGAGACCTATGTTCATCAGTGGACTGTTATAGACTGGATGGATGAATACCACCTAAAATGCTATTTTCCAAAACGAAGTGAACGCCAATATAACAAGCAGTATTAGATAGAAGAAATTAAGCACGCAACATGACATAATATTTCAAACATACTCATACGTTAGTTACTAGTATGTTGACCATTTCACTATCCCGTGAGTCATATAAGAACATTTCGATTGTTTAACTGTTGTGTCTTTTTCGCGGACATGGATTTTGTTAAATATAATACTTTCGATTTTTACAGATACCAGCAAAGGAAAGAGCAAGAAAGACGAGAGTGCACGATCCACGTATAACAGTACCACGGTCCAATGTATTTTTTGTACAATACCAAAGAACATTTTATATGGTCTTCTCTGTGTTCACTTCCATAAGTTAAGATGCGGAATTAATATAAAGACGTACAAAATACGCATAATATAGATAATAACTTTATTTATCACCATCGATAACGTTTTAATAGCGGGCCGTAAATTTTGGTTATCAATGTTCATAAGAGTTTCACTTTTACCTTTGTAACTAATATTGCCATATTTTATTTATATGGTATCGTGGATGTTGCGGCTTATCATACAATAAATGCAAACTCAGTCATTAATAGTTCGATAAAGTATTAAAATAATTAATTTTGTTCTTTATGTCAAAACAAAACACTATATTATTTTAAACTAATTACAACACCATGTATAGTGTAAAATTTATATAGAGTGAAAATGTCAATGTCTATTTATATTCGAGCTTCGTTTATCTACAGCATGTGTAAAAATTACTATAAAACGCAATAAAATTCCTGCAGCCAAACTACTGCATCTATTCAAATTATTTTTTCTGACAATGAAAAAACCCTTAATAGTCGTACCATTTAGTGTATGAAACCCTACACCAATTGCAAAAATTTGGAAATATATATCCATACTTTGATATAATTTTCATCATTGTGAAGGTGACTCTTTGATAAGATATATTAAATTATGTGAAAATAAATAGAATTAAACATACAGTTAGAGATGGACGTCTTAAAAAATCTACTAATTGTAGCGACGGAGGTAACAGATTAGTTAATAGTGAGGCTATTACTGTTTTATCTGGTTTTTCCGAGAGAATACATCGAGTACCTGAAATTATATCAGAAAAATATGCTGGACAAACGAAAATATTCTCACTAAATACTACACGCAAATAGAGTCGCACGACAAGATCTAACACGTAAATAAAGTATGGCAATATTTTTTATCGTTTTATTAATGTACTATAATTTAGAGTTTTATCTCGTTTAGTCGAAGTTTAGTTTTAGTCGAAGAGCCAGTGAGCGGCAGACTTATAGTATTTCAATAAGCTTCAAATTTTTTTCAGTTAATCCCCTGTAGCTGAGGTATATGAAATGGGTATGATTTTGCATGGCAGACATTTATTGAGGTTCTATCACCCAGGCAGATAACGAAGTTCAGTGGCATCAATAAGCGTGTACTATAGCACTCGCTTTTAACCTTTCTTTAGATTAAATAAAAATGTATATTACGTTAATTAAAATACTTGTTTTAACTGTTCTTTAGTATTAGTCATCATCATCATTACAGCCCTTCACAAGTCCACTGCTGAACATAGACCTCCCCAAGGAATTTCACAAAGCAAGGTTCTGAGCCACCTGCATTCATCGACTGCCTGCATTTCTTACCAGGTCGTCACTCCATCTAGTAGGGGCCGCCCTACACTTCGCCTACCGCTACGAGACTGCCACACGAGAACCTTTCTTCCCTATCGATTGTCGGTTCTTTGAGCTATATGGCCGGCCCATTGCCGCTACATCTTACTAATCCGTTGAGCTGTTTCGATTTCTCTGGTTCTACTGCGGATATCCTGATTTCTAAGTTTAGCGCTCTGAAACCCCGAGCATACGCAGCCCTCTCTATAGCTCGCTGAGCGACCTTGAGCTTCGTCATACGGTCAGTAGAGAAGGACCGCATCTCAGATCCATAAGCCATCACTGACAATACGTACTGTTTATACAATCTCGTTTTCAATTTTTGACCTGACGAGAAAATGTATCGTAATGCCCCGAACGCCGTCCAGTTGAATTGAATCCGTCGATTGACCTCTCGGTCGAAGTTGGACTTGCCTAGTTGGACTATTTGTCCCAGGTAAACATACTTGTCAACAACTTCAAGCTTAGTGTTCCCAACAACTACATGGACATGTGTATAGTTGGTGTGACATGGACGTTACACACACAGACTAACTAGTAGATTCTAGTTACACATAATCTATGTTTTTTCCATGTTCATCTTAAAATTTATCCGTTGGGGGCAGTGGAGTAGCGTGCCTTAGAGAGGCCCTATATCAAAATTTGCCTGGGGGGGCCCAAAAAGAACAAAAACTCTCAGATTGAATTATTATAATTATATATTGATTATGAGTTATTACTTACAATTAATACTCCTAGGAACTAGGCTAGCCAAACAATTCAAACCGACATCCTGTCCCATAGAAGACCTTAGAATGTTTGCTTACATACATACGGGGCCTCTGTTGCCCGGGGGCCCCGTATCATTGATACGGCTGATACGGCGGTAGCTACGCCCCTGGTTGGGGGGCACTATTGAGGTTATTGAGCATTGTGTAAAGCCTTCCAGCGATTCTGCCATAAGATTTCGGCAAATCAAAGGTGAGTGATGTACTCGCCATTGAAGTTAGCACCGTATCCTTATAAAGTAGCTTGAACAGCAGTTTCGTAGTAGTATGTAAAACCAATTGTTTATACCGATGTTTTTACTTACTTTATTACAAAAACAACCCATATTTATATGAATTACATCTCCTGATCAATTCCCTACTTCAGGAATCTGAGGAATATCAGGGATTCCTTCTTGCATCTCTACCAAAGTACAAAAATACACTAAAAATATTTGATATAACCGTTACCAAGGACAGATTTTCTTTTGTTATTAGTAACATATTACAAACTATGGGCCCTATACATGGGCCCAAACAAAAATAGAAAAAAAGTCCGGATTAGAGCGAGTGCTATAGTACGCTTAAGTAAGGTAATGTTTACTCTAAGTTGCCAACTCAGTAAGGGTTGAATGAATAAAGTTTGATGATACAACAAGTACAACATAAAGTCGCAAACATGATTATTTCCAGTTCATTATTTTTTTATTGCGTGTCTGCTAGTAAACGTATCATTGGAATACATTTTGTGCTCCTGGTGTTGAAGAAGCTAGTTGGCAACCCTAGGCGAGAAAAGTGCCTCTTGACTCATTTATTTGTACTTACTAAATATTTCTACTTTTTAGTGTTAGGGCCGTGGACTTGATACTTAAAATGTTGACTCTAGAAAACGATACTTGTTCGAGTTGTCAAAAATGCTCAATCTTTTTCTAAGAAGATCATACAAAAATAATGATTGAACGTCAAACAAGTTGAACAAAATGACGTCTATGGAAAGCCCAATAGCTGACACCAGCGGTTATTTTGCAAATAGAATATCCTGCTATTAGAGATCGCGTCATAATTTCTTAGCATTTTTAACTAAAAAAAAAAACGCGCTAACAGTCCACCTGGTTGCAAGTGGATAGCTCCTAAAGCGCCACCAAAAACTATTGAACTAATTAACTGCATTATTTCTTTACGTAGATAAAACTGTTATAACGAATAATTCGTTGCGAGTATTTTTGGTGCTGACTCTAGTAGCAGAATATTTCCTTTTGCTCACCGGCCGTCAGTGGCAGACTAAACACTATATAGAGAAAATGGCTAAAGTAATTTTTGTGATGTTTGCCACGGAAGCAAATCCCCATTGAATCTTAAAGAAAAATATTGTTAAACTATAGCGTTATTTAAATAATGTGATTTATTTTAATGCTGTTAACTACTGACAGTTTAGATTTTAAAATTATAACTATTATAACGGACTGTAAATAGTAGAATATGTGATATAATTGCTACAGACTATGATACTTCTAGATGTTGCATCTCGTTCACGTAAGCGTACAGTATAATAGATAAGTAATTTTAAGGATAATCTCCATCCATCTCTTTCTCACTCCGTCATTTTAAAAGAATAAGGAATAAACACTAAACTGTTTAAAATAACGACTCTGAGTAGCTCAGACCTGATGGGAATATATTTATGGCGAGCGTAAATAAATATATTCCCACCAGGAGAATCCAAACTACCCATGTTTGAAAAAACATAAGGCCATATTGTAAGCCAACAAACACCTACGACAGCGTAACGGACTGTTCTCTACCCCAAAACCCCTCTTAGAAATGGTATGAGGCCCGTGTCCAGATAAGGAATTGTAATGGCTCCAGAAAATATCAATACCCAAAGCAATTATAGTTAAAAATTCTTCCGAATATTAGGCGCAAAAACAAGATCCAACCTTTATTGGTATTTGCTGTATAAAGTAATTTATCTCGAGGTTTACTGAAATATTTAATGTCAAAAAAATTCAATATATGGATAACGGTTATATTCAACTATTATATTACATCTACAAGCATATGTTTATTTTATTTTTATTAAACGTGAAATAGCAATAATTAATAAGATGGCCAACAGTTCTAGATTTTGCGGGACAATCTTACAATAACAAATCGTATTAACACATGGTAATAATTAATTACATGTGTTAATACGATTTACATTACACGTTATAAACTTTTTTTTTTTAATATTTTATATATAAAATTATAAAAATGTTCATAAGTTTATTTATGTAAAACCTAGTTATTATTTATACTCTTTGAGTATAATATAATCCCTAAGTTTATATACACATGTCATTTTCAAACAACTGGAGTTAGAAACGGTATTAAAAACACCGCCTTTGTGAACCTATCGAAAAGTCATAAACAACCATCACAATTTACTACGATTATTTTCATCATCATCATCATTATCACATACCTATTAAAGCCCACACCTGTGCATAAGCCTCCTCGATAGATTGCCATAACGGAGAATATTTTCCATAGTCCCCAAGTCTTAATTATTTTAGATTTGTTATTAGGAAGATAACTATCACCTCCTGTTTTAGTTTCCCTCTGTTGCCTTTTACGACTACGATGATGTGATCTAGTGAGTTATCTCACGCCATGTAAGAAGTGAGAAATCTTCAGGAATTTAAAAAAAATCATAACTGCTCTTGTGCATAAATTTCAAATAACTATGATGATATACATTAATATTTACAGCAAACCACAAACATCATAAGCAAACTTAAGCTTCAACGTTTTACGTGCATCTGCTACTCATATATTACATATTTCTTTAAAAGCTGTCGATGTGCTT